TGGACCGCTTGCCTTCGTGCAGAGCAGGCTCCGCTCAGCAGCAAGACCAATCTTCCTAAGACACACACGGGACCACAGCATTCCAGCGTGAATCCACTCGGGGATTCTCCACTGCCCTCAGAGCGAAATCCAAACTTCTTTTGCTGCCCTGAAATTATCGGTCCTACTTGCCTCTCCACTCTCATCTTGTGTCCCCCCCCCCCGCCCCTCACACCACCCCCCCACCCCCCCACCTCACCCCCCGCTCCTCTCACACCATCCTGCAGCCACACTGGCCTTCTATCAGTTTCTCAAGCACACCCAGCTCTTTCTTGCCCAGGTCCAGTGTGCTATCCCTGCTTCTGGTTCAGAACCCTCCTCCTTCTGACATTTGCATGGCTGCCTCTTCTCCCCGTTCAGGTCTCAGCTTCAATGCTTGCCCTTAAGGAGGCCATTCCTGACCACTCTGAAATAGTTCCCACTTGAGTCTCTCCTTGGGACCCTCTTTTAGGTCTTTTAAGCATTTATCATTTAGTTAGTTTGTTTGTTTGGTCTGCCTCCCCAACTAGACTGTAAGCTTTATGGAGAAAGGGTAACATCTCTGGGTTCTTATTTACTGTTGCAACCCCAGTGCCTTTGCACAGTACGTGGCCCATAGTACATCCTTGAATTGTTGTTAAATGAATATATGCAAGAATGGATGAGTAAAGTGGAATTTGACATATTAGAGGAGCATAAAAAGTGAAAATTTAGAAGTCTAAGGAAACAGGAGCAAGGTGTCAAGGACGATGCTTTTGACAAAGAATGTACAAGCCATCTTAGCAGAAAATGTGCCAGATTTGAGAGGCTTGTGAAATAATCACAGCCACCAAGACCAAACAGTTTGAGAAATTAAGATGCTTGGAGAAACCTTACACCAAATTGTGGGATGCATCGTAGATATAATACTGGAGTTTCTGTCTTTAAAATACATTTAGAGTTTGGGGGTGGGGAGGAGGGCTAGGGGAGGCAGATGAGAGGAGGGAGAAAAACTGAACTATCAGACGCAAAGCTATTAAGGCCATCAGAACAGAACAACCACCCAGGAAGGTGAATTTCTTGGCTTATAAACCTCCTCATTGCTCCTCCGTGCTTTGGATATGCAAATGCCTCTGCCGACTGATCTTCCAGAGGAGGGAACGGCCTCCGTATCCACCCGAAGACTTGCATCTGCTCCAGGATCTTATCACAGTGCTCACGGTGTAATTAACCTGAGTGATGACATGCCCTTGAGGAGGCTGTCAAACCTTCCTCCCCAAAGGCTGTCAAGCCCTCTCCCCCGGGGATCAGAAATGGGAAGAGGGAAGCCTCACGTCTACATCACTGGCATGTGAGCTCCTGGGAGAAGGACTTAAATCTGTTGTCAGTGCCCAGATAAACCATCAGGCGAGGGCAAGCCCACAACAACTATTTGTATGTTTAATTAGTGTCAAGAAAGAGCCGACATTGAGACTAAGGTTCCCTGTTTCAGCCTGGCCTCTGCCTGGTCTGTGACATGGGGCACTGGGTTTTTATAACACAAAAATTATTTTATTTTGGTAAATGAAGGCATTTATAACCATCATCACTTTCCTAAAGAAAAGCCAGTTAAACATTAAAAACAATGAGATGAATTCTCCAAGTCATTTTATATAATTACGTATAATGATAGAATTATAATTTATGTAAATTTCATCGATCATTTTATATAAGGACTAGCAGCTAATCTGTCCTCTATTGCCTCACCTAGGAAACCAGATAGGCTCTAAAGCGTCTTCTAGCTTTAAAATTCGAAGTAGCAGCATATCTGTGATTCATGTATCTTTCAATGTATATTTGCTGCTCAATTAAGTCCTGTGCCACTGGTACTAGGAGTGAACCGTTTTTATGATTGTCAGATAAACTATAGAACATCCAGTTAAATTTGAACTTCAGAGACACAACAAATACTTTTTTAGGATAAGCATGTGCCATGCAGTATTCGGGAAATTTGCTGAATCCGACAATTTTAGCTATTTGTCTCCTGCTCTCCAAATACTGTAACCTTTTGGAGGGACAGGAACCGGATCTCTGTCATCTCTGGAAAGCCTTACAATTGTGTCTGCCAGATTTTTGTATTCACAAACATTATTGGATTTTTTGGGAGGGAAAACCAACTTTTTATTTGGGTAAATGAAGGCATTTATAAACAACACTTTACTAAAGTAAAGCCAGTGAAACGTTAAAAACGATGAGATGAATTCTCAAGTCATTTTACATAATTAAATATAACAGTGTAGTTATAAATTTTATAAATCATTTAAAAAATTTAACTTAACAAAATACTCAACACATTGTCCTTTTGCTTGTGTGTTTCCAAGGCAGGCAGGTGACCTTCACCTTTGAACCGGCCTGGCACCGCCCAGCTGACTGTGTTTGGGGGCTTCAGTTGTGTGGTGTTTATTTGAAGGCCTTGCCCAAGTTTTTTACTTTTTTGCTTTAGCTGCCAGGAAGCTCCGAGTTAAACTGGAGCTCAACTGCTCCAGCTACTCTCCCTCTCCCTGCATTCCTTAGCTCCTATACTTTCCTCCAGGCCTTTAAATCATTTAATGAGCCAAAACCGGTTTGGCTCAGTGGATAGAGCGTCGGCCTGCGGACTGAAAGGTCCCAGGTTCAATTCCGGTCAAGGGCATGTACCTGTGTTGCGGGCATATCCCCAGTGGGAGACGTGCAGGAGGCAGCTGATCTATGTTTCTAACTCTCTCTCTCCCTTCCTCTCTGTAAGAAATCAATAAAATATATTTAAAAAAATAAAAAATAAAAAAAAATCATTTAATGAATGAATTTTCACTGTAACTTGCCTCAAGAACTTTGGAAGTATAGGCATTTTTTAAGAAGACTTGAATATGTTAAAACCTCAGTAAATGATGCTATTGACAAAGCAGAGATGAATATTGAGTGGGGTCTGATTAGTTTACTCTCTGTAGATGATTCTTTTTACTGAATTCTTAATTTCCCATTCTTGGAATGTTAGAACTAGAAAGGTATGTACATCTTCTGAGAAGTCCAATTTCAGACTTGGGGTCCAATTGGGATTTGGGAGATAAGATCCATGAATCTATAAGACCCAACGTTCACTCATCCATATGCCATCTTAGCATATTTCAAAGGGCAGTATATAATTTTATTTTTTTAAAATATATATTTTATTGATTTTTTTTACAGAGAGGAAGGGAGAAGGATAGACAGTTAGAAACATCGATGAGAGAGAAACATTGATCAGCTGCCTCCTGCACACCCCCCACTGGGGATGTGCCCGCAACCCAGGTACATGCCCTTGACCGGAATCAAACCTGGGACCCTTCAGTCCTCAGGCTGACGCTCTATCTATTGAGCCAAACCGGTTAGGGCGAAAGGGCATTATATCATTTTATAGATGCGGTGAGGGAATACAACCGAGTGAAGTGACTGTCACATGAATCGGTGGCAGGCATGGGTGAAGTGCACAGCCCCAGTTTTCTTAGCAAATTGACTGACTCTGTGGGAGACAGGAAGGGCAGGAAAAGGTGTTCATCCATTTCTGCTCACATTACATAGTAGGAAGTGAGTGCCTGCCAGGTGTAGGGAAATGAAAAGACCTAAGATTTACCTCAGATAATAGCGACATCCCTCTCCCATCTGTTCTGAGATTTCACAGTTCACTAAGCACTTCTCCCACATTATCTTGCTTTGATCCTCACCAGAAGGAGATTTAGCAAGATGGTAATGTTTTCTATTTTACTTTACCGATGAGAAAATGGAATAACAGTCACTGTGTTTATGTGGCCAATAAAAGGGGCAGAACTGAGATTTGAACATTTCTAATAGTAAATGTCACTCAAGTCTGGCAAGACAGGCCAATGGCTTTGTCATTTAAAAAACCTGATTCACTGTTTCAAAATTCACACATGGTGTATATGATCATTACAAGAAAATTCAAAGACTTCAGAAAAATGTAACTTAAAACGTAAAGGAGTGTATTTCATCCTACTTCAGGTCCTGAAGAGTTTGGTGAGTTTTTAAATTTCCTTTTTCTATGAGTTTACATGTATTTATAGACACACACAAAAAAATTTTATGGCTCAAACTACATACATTGCTGTGCTTTGCTTTGTCTTAAAAATATGTCTTGGCCATTTTCCAAAATTCTGAAGTAGAGATCTACCTCTTTGTTTTAAATGAGCCATATTTGAAAACAGAATAGCACCATCCATGTGTATACTGATGATAGAATGCTGTATTTACTACCAATGTGTAAAGGGGAGTTGATTGTGTAAGGGAAAGTGTCTGGTGCTGAGAAATGGAGTAAACTGACGCTGATAGTGTCGGCTGATTCATTTTCCTTCAAAAGCGGGGGGCTTCAGAATCAGAATCACAAAAAGCCTAACAAGACCCTGAAAAAGTTATCGAATAACTGCCTCAGTTTTCCCATCTGTAAAATAGGAATACACATAATATAATGTTACATAAGGGTAGGATGAGGATTAAATCATTCACATTAAATGTTCAGCACAATGCCTCATGATGACGACAATGATGACGATGATGCTAATTCTCCAGCGGAGATGGAATAGTGAGTGGGGCTTAAGTTATAAGGTTATCAGTGCCAGGAAGTATGCCCCAGGGGATACTTTTTCTTAAGAGCTTCCGAACAGTTCCGACTGGGATGCCCTCTGGAGACCACTCTGACAACCCTCAGGAGACCGTTCTCACAGCGAGACTCCAGATTTGTAAACCTCGACGTCCCAGGTTTTCATGATCTGGTGCTTGACTTAACCTTTGGGGGGGGGGGGGCGGGGGGGGGGGAACCGAGGACTACAGTTCCCAGGGTGCACCACTTCAGCCCCGCCTCGTCCACGAGCTGGCGTCTCGCCAGATCCCCTGCCCAAACTACAAATCCCAGAAGACCCTGCAGCACAGCTCCGGTCTCCGGGTTCACCACGCCCACTTTTGAAGCGTAAGTGTGCCCGTGTTGCCCGCTGGGAAATGTGCCAAACACCCTTCCCTTTTCAGGCCCAGGCGCTGCAATCTGGCGCGCGAACGGGCAGCGCTCGGATGCCGGCTCCTAACCGCCCGCTCGGAAGCGCAGTCTGGCTCGGGAGGACTCGAGACGCGCCCCGGCTCGGTCCGCCGGGAAGGTGGCCGTGCTCCAGGCCTTGCCGGACTAGGAGGTAGACGGGGAGGCGGACGAGACCAAGTGCCAGCCTGGAGCGGGGAGGGGGCTGCGGGGAAGGGTGAGTCCAAGCGGAGATAGTAGGGGTGGAAATAGGGCGTGGCTCTTCACTAACTGGCCGGCGTGAAGCGCGCCCCTAAAATTAGAATTTTAGCTGTCCCATCAGGGAGAGGAGGAGGGGCGTCCATATAGTGCGATGGCTTCTGATTTGGGGCTGATGAGTGGAGCTTCACCCCAGGGCCTGGCCGTCCCCGGGCCGCGGAGGCAGTGGGCACCCCGGGCCGTGTGCGCGGAGAGCGCAGGTGCAGGAGGCCCCGGTTGGAAAGTTAGGCAGGAGTGTGGTTGGGACGTTACCCAGGGCACCTGAGGCTTCGGCTCTGTCCCCGGAAGAAAGGCTTTCCCAGCCCCTTCCTGACTCTTGGCGATTGAGGTGGAAGGCCTCTGAGGATGTTTGGGGATCCGAGCAAAGGGAATCCCAGCGGGAAGGAACCCTTTGAGCCTCAGAGGCCTGAGCAGTGCTGCCGGGGTGCCGCCCGTGTCATTAAACGCATTGCATCCCATGACATGGGGTGGGGGCTGTTTAGTCTGAACCGATCCGGAGAGAGCGGTGTCCAGCTCCCCGGTTGTAGAATATTGTAAAAGTGGCTCTGCTCATAGAAAAATGACGTGGGTAAATTAGTTTTTAAAAAATGATCAAGGCACAAAACAATGTATATATTGTTCCTCTAAGTATATTTCCCAAATATGGGACGTGTGTCTATGGCTATGGATAGAAAAAGAAACAGAACTATGCTGTACTTTAAACTCTGAAGAGTGGTTATTGATGGGTGGTGAAATTACAGACTCATTTTACCCTCTGCATCTTTATGTAGCATCTGGATCTGTACAATGAGCACGCATTACTTTTTATCCCCCCTTATTTTTCCAAAAGAGTCACTGGGCTGCTCTGAGGGGGTGCATGTTGGAAGGCAGGCACTGCTCTGGGGCTTGCATCCCTCAGGCCCCCTGCAGGCTGATTGGCCAAGAATGCTAAGAAGATTGAATTGGAGGGGTGAATTTAGTGGGCGGTCTGTGTGAGGCTAACGCTTTTTTTCTTCTTCTAGGTTGGAAAGAGTCTATGTTAGCAAGTCTCACACCATGGTATGTGGTTGTTTTGATCTATGTCTGTCTAATCCGTATCCTTTCTAGCTTGAAATGTTCTTCTCATTATCTGGTGGATTTGGTTTGCATTCCATAACTTCCGTGGGATCTGATAACTCAGTTGGCTAGGGGATGAGAGGGAGAAAAATATTGTAGCTGGAATGACTCTTCAGCTTTGGATTTGATCCTTCTTTTTCCTCTTTTGTCAGGATGTCGTTCGCCTATGCTACCTAGTATTCCTGGGGGGGAGTGGGGGAGTGTTAATTATAAAAGAAACTTTAATATATCCACTGTTGTGCATTTCCTGGGACAAAAGTTTGTTAAAGTCAAGGTAGGCACATGATAAATACATACATCTCATGTTTATTTCAAACGTTTTTCTTTCCCAGCTTTTACCACGTTTCTGATTAAAGATTGACATTCCTGCATAAGCATTTTCCTGTTACAATGTCCTTGCCCCTTACAGAGGAGCAGAGGAAAAAGATTGAAGAGAATCGACAAAAGGCTCTGGCCCGTAGAGCCGAGAAACTAGCAGAACAGCATCAGAGCGCAGGATCGGGCTCCTCCATTGCGGCCCTTTCTTCCCAGTCCCAGCAGGGTCCTTCTCACAGTCTCCCCAAGGATTCTTCGAAGCCAGTGAGCCATGGTGTCGTTTTCAAGCAACAGAAAACCAGTGGTTCATCTCATGGTGACCAAAGACCTCACAACCCCCACAGTTTTCATCCCAGCATTCTGGAGCAGGCAAAGGGGACCTGGAAGAGGCCAGAAGAGATGCCCACAGCCTGCCCACACCACAGCCCACCAAGTCAAGTGACTCTCGCTGGGATCTCCCCTCCCTTGGCACAAAGTCCGCCAGAGGTTTCCAACCAGCAGCTCGTGGGTCAAGGTCATCCTCAGGTTTCCCACGGGGCCAAATCGACACCCTTTGCTAACTCAACTCATGAGCCTTTGGCCAAAGCAAAGAGTTCCCAGGATACACCAGCTTCCTCCTCTGGACAGCTCCCCAGGGAAGCTCAGTTAGAGGCCACGGCAGCCAGACCCTCCACCTCGGGGCAGGACATTTCTGACGTCCACTGTGGCTCTGGGAGTGTGATGCCCGGGACCGAAGGCAGACTCCCACAGAAATTGGGGGCCTCACCTCGCAAAGCAGTAAGCTCCCAGGAGGGAACATGTGTAAGGGATGGAGACCGTTTCCAGGTGAAGATTGGGTACAACGCAGAGCTCATTGCCGTGTTCAAGCGTCTGCCCAGCAGAAATTTTGGTAATGCGTCTAGTTCATTCAGTCTAGTTTTTCAGATTCTTTTTTCTATTTCTAGAATCCCTTTTAATCTCGCAGTTTCTCATAAATATGAAGAGGGTGCATTGGCACATTCTGTCTAACCAGTTGTTAAAATTTTTCTATTTTAGTCCATGTTTTCTTTTGTCAGAGACGTTCCTTCAAACAGCTGCCAAAATTAGGGGCTGCCACACGGCCATATGGAGAAGGGATGAGTGTTTACTGAGAGGCCAGCTCCTCTGCCAGGTGCTTCATATGCCCTGTAGCACTTAAGCCTCACAATTTTTTGAGGTAACTAGATGTTATTTTAAAGGCGATGGGACTGGCTCAGCCAGGTAAAGTTACATGCTCAGGTTGGTTTGTCTGAAGGGCAGAGCTGGAATGTGGCTAGCTCTGCCTTGCCTCAGTGCACGTTCCTTCTCATACCTGAGCTTTGCCGGACTACACAGGGTCCCACCTCTGCCCTCAGCCCTCTGAGATAGGGCCCATAACATGTCAGAGCCTGACTTAAATTTCTTGATGTGGAATAAAAAGCATTATTCTTATATATATTTCCTATTTGTCCTGTACAAGGATTTTATAAATCAGTGGGGGCTTGTTCAGCCAACTTTTTTGAATTTAGCATTCATTCATTCATTCATTTATTAAACAAGCTTTTATTGAGTGTCCAAGAACAGATTATAACAGTCATCAACCTCATTGTGGACAAACCAAGTATTTGTGTTTCATTTTAGATCCTGACACCAAGATGTGGAACTTCAGCATGTCCGACTACAGTGCCCTGAGTAAGTAGGTGTGTCGTCACCCCTCATGCAGGAAACACGGGTATTGAGAAGTTTCTCTGGAGTAGCAGATGTGGTCTGGCTGGTGGTTTGGATGGCTTTCAGGCCACCGTGGTCCCAGTGCTCTTCTTCCTTCTCACTATGGCCAATCTGGTGAGGCAGCTCATTGGGTGATAGTCACTGGTAATATTAACAGAAGCTGGCATTAAATGGAGCCTGGTATGTTCCAGGCTGTTCTAAGCCCCTTACATGTGCTATAACTCTTTTATTCCTTATGACAACCATTTTACAGATGGGAAAACTGAGGCCCAGAGAGGGTGTGTTACTAACATAAGGTCACACAGCCAATAAGTTGCGCAAATAGGATTCAAATCCAAACAGTCTGACTTCAGGGTGCATGTTCCCACTGGGTTGCTGGCTCCAGCCATGGCAGGCAGCTATGCCAGCCACTGATCTCAGGAAGATTTACAGTTCATCAAACCACCCAAATCCTCACAGCACTCTTTATACAGCTAGTTAACTAGGGCTTGCAGGGAAGGGCATTGCCCAGGGAGGGGCATTGCCCAGGCAGGCTCCAGCCAAGACCAGGTCCGGGGAGGCCAGGTCAGGTTGTTGTCAGGGCTCGTGGGTGCACGCACCACTTCTGAGATTTTGTTGACTGTCTCTACTCCAAGGTTTTTGTCACCTTCTCCTGGTGCCTGAAGTCTGCTCCTCTGCCCTGGCTGTTCTCACATCTCCCAGCAGCCATTTCTATCCCCTCTCTTCCCTCCCAGTTCAAAGAGGGAAAAGATGAGGTTACATGGTGAGGTCACTCCCCCGATTTGGGGCACCAGTACAGTTTCTGGAGGGTGATGGTCAGCTCCCAGCAGAAGTTCCTGTTTCTCTCCTTGACCTCCCCATCCTGAAATGTGTGACACTTGGTGATATCCTTTTCTTTAGTAGCTGTCAGTGAACTTTTCTTTTGGGGGGGTAGGCGGGGGATCATTTTTACTATTAATCCATTTGTTAGGTGTTGGGAAGGGGAGACCAGTGCCCTAAGTTAAGAATGCAGGTTTTGACATACTGTGTTCTCATGGTTCCTCAGATTAAACCATTGTTTTCCACTGTCATGATTTTGTTTGTTTTATTATCTTTTTACTCCTGTTCTCTGACCACACTGCATGGTGACCTAAATGACTTCTGTGTTTACAGATTCATTTATGTTTTCTGTGAGATACGCTTGCCTTCAGTAATGCTTCACATATTTTTTTTGAAAACTATTTAACAGGCACAAAAGTCTGTTCATAGCTTTTAGAAGAATTTTACTGATTATTTGTTTAGCTCCTCTGTGTCCTTACCAGTGTTTTGCACACTTAATCTGCTGTCTCCTAAGATATATTAACATTCTCACAATGATCATGGATTTGTGCATTTATTCTTCTTTTTAAATTTTCAGATAGGTTCATGATTGTTGTGTCTTCTTAGTAGATTATAGTTTTTCATCGATATAACATGTAAAGCCTGGGTCTACCAGTCTTTCTGTCATTTTGCTTCGGGTGTACGTCTGGATTTTGCCTTTTCAATCCTATCGCACACTCATCTTATGGAAAGTATATCAAAGTGCAAAGAAGAAACACTATCCCCCAAAACTCCCCACTCAGTTAGCCACTATTCACATTTTAGTTTTGTACCTTCCAGCCTTTTATCTGTGCATTAAAACATACAAATTTTTACATATGTAATGTAATTGTTATCTTGCATAATTCGCTTAGTGTTCCAGCATAACATTTTTATTTTCATGCTGAATGTTAACAGTTAATGCTGAGTGATAAAAATGCCCATTATCAGACCACTTTGACTTCCAAAAAAATGATTTCATACCATTGAACTCAATTTTTTTGTGTATTTGTCTTTTCCAAAATTTCTTACAAAAAATCATTATTGATTATATGATATTTCATTGTATAAATGTCATAGACTGCTTAAATCATTTTCTCTTTATCTGTTTTAATTTGCTCCCAGTTTATTTTTCAGTGTTACATCTGTAAGGAACATCTTTATCCATAAATTTTTGTATTTTCAATTGTTAGTTGGGGGAGATTCCTAGAAGTTGGATCATTTGATCACTTTTTAGGGCTCTTGCTGTATATCACCACATTATTTTTCAAAAGAATTTATTTCCAACTGGCAATGCAGATATCTATTTTTTATAAGTTAAAAAAGGGCTTTTTTTCCTCTGATGATTTGTGCAGTTGAACAGTTTTTTCAAATGCTTATTAGTCATTTCCCCCCTCTTTTCAATTGGTTACATCTCTGTGTTTTGTGGTCTTGGGTGTGTGTGTGTGTGTGTGTGTTTTAATATATATATATTGATTTCAGAGAGGAAGGGAGAGGGAGAGAGAGATAGAAACATCAATGATGAGGGAGAATTATTGATTGGCTGCCTCCTGCACGCCCCCACTGGGGCTCGAGTCCGCAACCCAGGTATGAGCCCTTGACTGGAATCAAACTTGGGACCCTTCAGTCCACAGGCTGACACTCTGTCCACTGAGCCAAACCAGCTAGGGCATGGTCTTGATTTTTTAAGAGTATGGGCTCTGCTTGCCTTTCTTACAAGTATCTTTACTCGGTAGTTTTGCCTTTTAATTTAGTTTGTGTCTTTTGACAGTTTAGTTTTATGTAGTCAAATCTATTAACCTATAAAGTCCATCAGTAATAGATGAAATAAGGTTCAAAACTGTGCTTCTGTGGCCTGGTGGGCCTTTGTCTCTCTCCCTTGTTCTCTAAGCAGAGTTAGGGGCCTGGAAGTAGGGTTAAGTGGGTGATTCTGGTGTGCTGACTTCAGCAACAGAAATGATCTAATAAACTTGCTCATTCTGGTGAAATCCCTCTTCCCCTTGTTATTTTCTGACTTCTAAATGTTTTAATTTGAAAACTTAAGGAGAAGAGTAATGTTCAATAAATCGTGAATTTTTCAAAGCCTCAATGAAAGCATGCTTGCAAAGCTCCCAGTCCAACAGTACCTGCCATGTGTAATTCCCTATGACCCTGTCCCTGCCCTCCTCCTTTGCCTGCCTGAGCATCCAAGGGCCATGTGAAAGTCATCCACCTTGTCACAGCTGTCCTCCTCTTCTCCTTCGCAGTGAAAGCAGCCCAGCGCCTCCGCACGGTCACCCTGCAGCCTTTGGAAGGGGCCAGCAGTGTGGCACAGACCGGCCTGCCTTCGGCTCCCTCTCTCACCTTTGTCAAAGGGCAGTGCATGCTCATCTCCCGGGCCCGCTTTGAGGCAGACATCGGCTATTCACAAGAGTTGATCGCACTGTTTAAACAGATGGATTCTAGAAATTACGGCAAGTATGGCCCCCGCCTGCTTCCCAGGGTGGGTAGTGGTCTGTGGTCTCAGAGTAGGTGTTTTTCTCTCGATTTGAACACTCAAAAATGGCTTTCTTGGTAGAGCCTTCCTGATCTGCTCCTCTTGGAGAGAGGTGACGCCTAAATTGTTTAGAGAGTGAACAATTGGCCTGTTTTGTCCTCAGAGGCCTCCCAAAGAGAAGGACCCCCCCACACACACAATTTTTCCCAGTCACCTGTTTTCTTGGTAGAAGCAGATAAATTCCTGCTTTGGCCATTTAAACCTACCTGTTTAGATTTTGTAGCAGAGCTAGAAAAACAGATGGTTGTCATAAAAATAAATGCCTTTCTGTAGACTAAGACCATAGTTCTCAAACTTGAGCATCATCAGAATCACCTGGAGGGCCTGGTAAACCCAGATTGCTAGGCCCGGTCAGTGTTGATGCCTACTTTCCACCCAGAGATACTGAACTCATTGGTTTGAGGTGGAGCACTGGTAGTTTTAAAAATCTTCAGGGGAGTCTAATAATCAGCCAGGATTGACAACCACTGGCCAAAACCAAACAATTTTGCTTTATTTTTTGTGAGGTTCTTCAAAAGCTGCCCCATCCAAATAAAGGGCAGAAATCAGCTTCAGAATTCTGAACTCCTGGAGTTCATTCTTAGCGTGGGCCATGTTGTTTTACAAAATGCTGTGGCTTTTATGGGTTAATATTCACATTCTTGAAATGGTTTTAGCCTTTCCCTGGCAAGTAGAAAGCAAGGTCTTAAAACCTCTTGCCTTTGAGACATCACAGTCACCACACCATGCGAGCTCCCTGGAGGTTTAGGAAACCAGGGACTGAGTAAGTGTGAGGACACAGCAGAAGCAGGCTGGCACATTTGCTTATTTTGTTTCTTCTCATTGCAGATGTCAAGACCAGGAAGTGGAACTTTCTCTTGGAAGAGCACAATAAACTAAGTGAGATGCCCACCTTGCTTGTTTTATATCATGCTGTTGTTAAGCTTTAATGATCTGCCTTAAATTAGTGTTTTAAAAGGTTCTCCTCCTCCTTCCCCTGCAATGACTGTGCATGCTGTGTACAGGACAAGGAAAGGCGGAGATGTTCTCAGGTAGCCCCGGCCCCATCCGCTGAGACGGTGGCTTTACAACAGCCCAACGAACCAGGGGCCTCTGCTTCCATCAGCGTGAGGCAGTACTGGTCAGATTCCAAGGCCAGGAAACCTCTCTCCTGCCCATCGTAGAAGTGTGGGGGTCAGAGGTAAGGAAGGATTGCCTCGCTTAGATGGAAGCTGCTTTGGACGCCCTCTGAGGACAGGCTCTCAGATTACTTCTGGAACCAGATGATTGGTGAAGGTGGGAGGGTCTCAGCAATACTGAGCTGCAGGTGGGCTGAGGTTTGCCAGAGGCTCGGCCTAGGCCAGGGTGCACAGCTTTAATGAGCACTTTGGAGATGGACCAAAGGAAGGGATATGTGTACAGATCAGCCGTGGGCAAACTACGGCCCGCGGGCCAGATCCGGCCCGTTTGAAATGAATAAAACTAAAAAAAAAAAAAAAGACCGTACCCTTTTATGTAATGATGTTTACTTTGAATTTATATTAGTTCACACAAACATTCCATCCATGCTTTTGTTCTGGCCCTCCAGTCCAGTTTAAGAACCCATTGTGGCCCTCGAGTCAAAAAGTTTGCCCACCCCTGGTACAGATGTAACTACAAGAAGGAGAAACTAGTTTGGACTTAACGTTTTTCTTCTCTGCCTGCGAAAGGGGACATGGTCTTATCTCAGCCTGTCCTGAATGTCAGTCTAACACCCGTCTTCCAAGCTGTGACAGCTCTACAGAGGGTTTGCTGCTGGCATTAGCATTCCTCCTGTTTGATCCCGATGACTTGTTGGCCTCCCAGCCAGTGTTCACACTGGTCAGGCCAGGGGTGGCCCTCTTAACCCACCCGGCTGGGGCTTTAACGAAGAGGAAAGCTGGGTTTCTTCCCTCTGTCTCCTCCTTATGTGACTTACTATAGGACCTCAGATGGATAATTCAACATTCTGGGTCCCAGTTGTCCTTTTAGTAAAAAAAAAAAAAAGAAAGAAAAGAAAAGAAGAAGAAAAACGTGTGTGTGTGTGTGGGGGGGGGGGGGGGGGACGGTCTTTAATCCGTGCCTGCTCTTCTGCCAGAAATTAAATATAAGGGAAGGGCTTTGATCCTTGAGGAAAGACTCAAGGCTAAGTTTGGCAAACTCAAGGCTAAGTTTGAATATGAGGAGATACTTAGTATCAGGGAACACTAGCTGAAGCAGAAAGGATCCCATAGCTGCTGCTGTTTGGAACTTGTGACTCAGCGAACTCTGGCCAAAGCCAAATTTTTGGTGAGCAATAGGAATGAGTTTTTCCCTCTCATCCCTTTGTCTTTCAACCACAGAAAGACATAAATATGTTAGCTATAAAGGCTTGACTTTCATGGAAGGATAAAAAGCAGGATACTTACAGCATTAGTTGGTGAATGTAACATTGAAAACCATGAGTCTCGACTCACATAGTATTATATAATGGTTCCACATACTCTTTGGAATATCTGATGAAACAACAATTCTTCATCCAGAAAAACACACAGTGGCCAGACATACAGTTTGTGTTTGTCATCAATAATCCTTTGGATCTGGAGTTTAGAATTCTAGATTCAGAGTTCGGATTACTTTTTTCCATGCTGTCTGGTCATTCCAATGTCTTGTGGAAGCTAAGACTGATTCTCCCCATTTCACAGATTGGAAAAAGCTTAGGCCCAGAGACAGGAAACGTCGTTTTCCTTATTGGGAGCATTGCGGGTCATGATACACTCAGACTCGGACTAAACATTGAGATCTTGAGTTTGTATCATGACCTCTATGGAAATTTAGAAGCCAGACCCGTGTGCTACGAGGCTGAGGAGACGGCCTGCAGAGTCGCAGGTCCCGGTGAGCTCTGGTTCCATCAGCATCGGACAGGGCCCTGGGGAATTTGCACCTCTCCTCGCCCCTGGGGCTGGTTCCTCCGTGGAAATTAGATGACTGACCCTGAGCTCGTGAACATGTGCATGGAAAACTAATTAAAAATGACAGTAAGACCTTCTGAGTAGATGAATGCTCGTTGATGACCTGGTGATAATTATTTTCTCCAGATTAGGTGACTAAGCTTTCTTCTCTCTTTTCTAAGTGACTTGAGGCCTTTGCCCACAGTGAGATTGGCTTAAGGCCCTTGGTTTTCCCAACTGTCACAGTCCAGAAGGACTCTGCATCCCCCTCAGCAATTCTGTCTTGTCAGCGGCTATTTGAAAACATTCCCATCCCTGCTGGTGGCTTCGTGGTGGCTTTCACAGAAGCGGCTTCTAGATGGCTCATGAGGCCAGAGCACGCTCCTGCCACCTCCTAGCACAGGGACAGGACACGGCCACCGTCGACAGTGCATGGGGCTTTCTCAGAAACACATTCCGTTGACCGAAGTAGCAGCACAGGGATTTGGAGGCAGTAATTGGTAGGAAGCAGAGTGGCCGTTTTTTCCTTTTGAGAGGCTGAAAGAACGTAACGCTTACAAAACACAGTGGCCAGATCATCAGCCGTGTCTCAGTTTTCGTCAGGTATTTGAGTTCTGAAAGTAGGATTATAATGAAAATGGTTTCTGAAAGCACATGGAGTGCTCAGTCTCCTGATGTGTGGAGAAATCAGCATGCTCAGATTTAATTTGGAGGCATAAAATGTACTTCTGCATCAGTATGGACAGTCTCTTTATGTTGAAGCCGCCAACCTTACCTAATTTCCTATCCTGGTGATTCTGTTCTTGCCAACTGTTCCCAGAAATAACTGGTACATATATTTAGTGAAGGATGAAATGGATTTAAATGTATTGAAAATACAAAGCTATTTAAGGTAGTGGGTGGCTCAGTCCTCCAGATTCACATCAATATTTGCAATTGTAGCCAATTGGTTGTGTGGCAAAACACTTTGTAATATCTTGTGAAGATACTAAGGAAAAACATGATCACATGGAATAGAGAACTACAACCTTAGAGTTTCAAATAACACTGGGTAGAAATGAAACATGCCCAGTTTCTCACTACTGGATTCCTGAGGACAGTAAGCCCCCTGGTTTTACTATGACTCTCCCAGGGTGCCCCTGAAAAGGTAAAGGATAAAGAGCAATTGAGGATCTGTGAACAGTGGTCACTCTTCTAACTTGATTTTTCAAAGGAAAATGCTAAAAGGGAAGAACCTTAGAAAGCTACAGCCCCTAGGACAGCGGGCTGTGGTTGGTAGGTTAATGATTCTGCTACCACCAGTGATCTCGAGGTCTATCGTCTGTTCTCTAACTTCGTGATTTTTTAACATCTTCCCCTGCCCATTCCCCCCAAATTGTATGTTTTATTTGTATCCTGGTTTATTCTTTTTCCTTTTCTCTGTTGAAGAAGTTTTTTTCCTCGTAAATTTAAAATCAGATGAGGCTTAAATTCTTTCAGAGAGTAAGATCAGTGAAATTAATTTGCTTTCATTTCCATGTAGATCTCAGGTAATTTATTTTTCCCACTTGGGTTAATGGCTTCTGACTAGAAAAAGAGATTTCCCCATCCATTGTATAGAGGTCTGGTACCGCACACTTGAAAGGAGAGTAGAGACCCCTAAAGATGAGCTGTAATGGAAAGTCAGACTGAACTTATCAGGGTTGGTAAACGTTTTTTGTAAAGGGCCAGAGAGTAAATATTTTAGGCTTGTGGGCCGTGCAGTATTTGTCCCAACTACACAACTCTGTCAGTGTAGCATGAGAGCAGCCATGACAATCCATAAACAAGCTGGCACAACTGTGTCCAGTAAACCTTTATTTACAAAAACAGGCCTATTTGGCCCCCAGGCCTTTGCTTGCCAGCACCTGCTTTGGAGGCTGGGTAGGGAGCTAGCAGGCCACCTCAGGACTAATGGGTTTTCTGGCTGCCTCACCACTGAGATTGTTACCAGCTGTGGCCTTTGTGTGGACTTTGCCCTTTGTTGTTGTTTGGGAGTAAGTACCATCTTACTGATCTTTCTCAGAAATGCCCAGCATCTTCTCTGTATGGCGCTCCGTGCTTCCTCGCCCGTTGACAGCAGGTGACGGAGCGTTCTCTGACTTCTCAACATCGAAACCAAAATAAAACATGAGGAGAATGGAAAGGAGACAAGATTTTTCCACTTTAATTCTTGCTTTTTCTGGGCTGATTTTTTTCTTATTTGAATGAGAATACTAAGATAATTTTTTTACATTGCTTCAGGTTAAAAAAAAAACGATCAGTCACAAAATCACTTTGTATTTCTTTCCAGTGTTTGTGTAGTATAGAAAATCAATTTTGCATGACCGATTGCCCTCATATTTGCAGAAATTAAGGAAAAGAGAGGGAAGACTTGTTCTCTAGCATGCGTCTATCAGCCCTGATTTTCTCTCCAGTTAGTTTCTTAAGATGGCATGCAGCAGCATTTCAGCCATTGAAATTTGTATTTCGTAACCCCTGGATCTCTTGGACATAACACCCCAATTCATATGCCTCTCTTCTTCCTTCTAGTTGAAAGGGTGCGCTGCCTCCCACAAGTGCAGCTGAGTCCTCTGCCCAAGACACTCACCCTGGCCTTTGCTTCTCAGCTGGAGAAGACATCTCTTTGTCTCACAGCAGACGCCCCTGAGGCCGACCTCTCCAGTGTGGACCCCAAGCTCGTGTCCAGTCTGCTGCCCTTCCAGAGAGCTGGAGTCAAGTAGGTGCCTGATCTTCCTCTTGCTCCCTTTCCCTCGCATTTCATCCCTCCCCACCAGCTGTGTTCAGATGCCCCTTCTTTTGTGAATGCTCATCTTTTACAGATGTCTGGAAGCAGTTAGGCATTGAACAGCCAGGTGTACTGTTACCAGAGCCTGAGTAACCATTGATTTCAAATTCTGTGCGTTAGCAGGGCTCTGTGTTGCAGGTGTGCAGAAACCTACTCAAACTAGTTGAAGAAAGATTTCTCAGTGCATGTAATAGAAAACCCAGGATCTAAAAGGATCTCATCAGACTCTGTCCCTCTCTCAGCTCTGCCTTCTTCTTAGTTTGCTTTATTCTCAGCCTGATGCTACTCAGGTGTGGCAGCTGGGGCTGCCAGGGACTTCCAGCTCACATCCATCAGCCCAGCAGAAGCACCTCTTTTCTCGGAATCCCACACTGAAATGCATGGATCTGGAACCAGTCAGTCATTGTGGCCCAGAGCTTGAAGTCTTGTTGGTGAGGCTGGATGATAGGCCTGCCCTACAACAATTACTTGGACTGAGAGTGGGAGGTGCTAGTTTTCCAAAAGAAAGCTAGGGTGCACTTATTGTAGAAAGAAAAAAGGTAAACTGGAGGCCTGGCCTGTCCTTTTTTCCAGACTTCTTGGGAGAAGCAAAACGACAGGTTTGAACTTGCCTTCTAGTGAATATACGGGAGGTCAAGGAGAGGGAGGAGGTCTTGATAGTCCACCCAAAAATATGAGAGCTAAATGTGTTGGTAGGCGGTGTGGCTGGAGAAGAGCCCTGTGCAAGGGAAGGAACTGAACTGTCAGTGGCACTGACGAGCAAAGTCAGCCTGCCTGTGTGCAACCCACTGTGGTGTTTGGTTAAAGCTCGGCTGCTGTCTCAGACAGGATTCTGTCCTGGGTGTGGTTTCGGCACAGCCATACCTTACTGATTCCCAGGTCCCCAGCTCCGCCCACCCTCTCTTCTTCCTATCCATCAGCCTCTGTCCCTCTGAGGGAACACACTTTGCCATTTCGGTCCTGCATCTACGTGCTCTGTGATGTCCTTTGGGCCGCGTTTTACCCAAGCTCAAGGCAGTTTTTTTCCTTTGCTCTTTTCCTCCTCTGGCTCCTTCATGACAATGTTGCCCACTCTGACCAGCATCAAGTTCATCATGGCTCCAGTATAGAGAGATCCATGGGCCCATGTGGTACCTGCTGGCCTTGCCAGGTAACCTCCTCACTACTGGGGGCGCTGTGCGAGGCACCAGGCCAGTGCTCGTGGAAACAAAGTGGGGCCAGCAGCTCCCATCTTTTTCTCTAGGGCTCTGAACGTGCTATGGTACTTACAGCCTTTCTTCAACACTTTCTGATTAAATCCAGATTTTAACTTTCATTCTCTGGTGTTGAGGGAAGAGGGCTATGAATTCCACATGTTTTTTTGTTTTGTTTTGTTTTTGTATGTAAAAACTCAGTTGAAAACTCCCTTAAACTTATGGAGTAAAATCTCTTAGATACATATCAGCTTCCTCTAATGACTAAATGGTCTCTCAAGAAACCAGTGAATCAAGGCTCTGGCAGACAGCCAGCTGCCTAAGGTCTCTCAGCTCCCACAAGTGAAACTGGAGCTTAAATCACATTTTCTGATGAGGACAGAGCTTCTGTTATGTGGCCTGCCCTGTAGAGGAGGCATCAGCTATGTGATTGTTTCTCTGTTTACTCAGGTGTTTGCTTTGTTCTCATTTTTGGCCACTTGGTTCCTGAGCTGGGATACCTCAAGGCAGGGATAAAGGAAAGACTGAAATTCAGCATCCATTCTGCTTTGAAAATGACCAGATAGACTAAAGTGCTTCGGTGCTCCCTGTCTGCCCTGGCTGCCAGTTTTGTAAACCAGAAAGTAAGAGAATAAATCTTTCCACACTTGCCCTCCCTCTGTCTGAGTTGTGGGCTCATCCCGAAAATGGTGCAGAGCTTTAACCCAGGTCTGAGGTAGGTGTGCCAAGAAGAGACCTGTTCAGGGAGGTGAGGTCGCAGTCCGCTGGGCTCCCTGCCTTCCCACTGAAGGAACGTGGTGGCCACGGCCTCTCATTGGGCGGGCTGTTGCGACTGCTGGGAGGACAAGGAAGTGCAACGATATGATGCCCATTGACTCCGTGTGCTGCTGAGCCCAGGAGTGCTGGCCGCATGCCACCCACAGGTCTGCATGTCCATTCTCCACCTTCGCCAGACACTGGCCTTTCCAGGCAATTCAGAAAGGCCACGTGCAGCCTAGAATTCTTGTCCGCCAAACCAGCTGCTAATTAAAAGAGATTACGGTCTCTGTCTTTACTGTGTGAGAGGGAAAGAAAAAGAGCTAGTCGTCTGACCTATTACCAGGTTTCTGAGCAGATGATGAGTTTTCAGGAATCATCTGAACGGGGACGGGTATGTGGAGCAGGAGACCAGGCAGCTGGCACTCGGGATCCCTCAGCGTTTCACTGAGTCATCAGATGACTCGAGCAAGTCATTCTTACTGTTGTGCCTTTTGTCGAATAGTAGCTATAAGAGAACATTCTTCTGACCCTGTTTTAAGTGCGTTACTTATTAACTTCATTAATCCTCGAAACAGTCTCTGGGGTAGATCCTGTTGTTATTCCCATCTATGGCTGAGGCACCAGGAGGTTAGATAACTTACCCCTGAGTGGTGGGATGGGGATTCCATCCCGGCCAATTGGGCTCCAGAAGAGTCGGCTATAACCTTATTCACAAACGATTAGCAAGGGTTGTTGCCCTGGAGGCTCAGGGCCCTGGAGAGAGTCAGGGCTCTGACTAGTGAGCACCTTAGCTGAGGTTGCTGCTCCCTCTTAGATAAACACCCTGTTCCACCCTGTCCTCTGGCTGCCCCCTCCTCTGCAGCATGTTCTGTCTTTGCTGGTTCCTTCCCTCTGGCCTTTACACACAGCATCCTCTCTATTCTTCATCTCTAATCTCTCTCCTCTCCTCTAGGCAGATCTTTTGTGTGAACAAGGGTGCGCCTCTCCCCGCCCCCCCCCCCCAGCCCCTTATTAGAGACCGTTTCCCACCTGTCCTTGCACACCCCTGGGCCTCGCCTACATTGGGCTGAGGGTGACTCGTGTTGCAGACTTTTATGACCTGATTATCTTACAGAGCTTCTCCCTACCTTTGACCACCATTTCACATCTTCCCGATTCTGACTCCTTTTTAAATTATAATTCTGCTCCCTGATTAGCTTCTGCTTTTCCCTCTTTGGGGAGCAGATCTCTTCTCATGAGCAGGGCCCATGCTGGCTGCCACACAGCCTACACCGAGCCATGCGCATGTATCACTTTACGTGGTGGCAGGTAAACTCGTGCCCCTGGGGAATATGTTGTGTTACTGTCCTTACCTTGTCTGCTTCCAGTTTTGCCATCGCAAAAGGAGGCCGCCTGCTGCTTGCTGATGACATGGGCCTGGGGAAGACCATCCAGGCCATCTGCATCGCCGCCTTCTACCGGAAGGAGTGGCCGCTCCTGGTGGTGGTGCCCTCGTCTGTGCGCTTCACCTGGGAGCAGGTCCGTGCTCTTTGTGTTCGGATTTTAACAAAGACACTTTTCCTCAGGGCTAGAGGAATCAAGTAACAGCTTGGGGACAGGGCCTAGGATATTTAAAGTCCTTCTTCAGCTGAAGGCAGAATGGAGAGGAGATGCCCCCTGAGCCTGGGCTCATGGGCTGTGCCGAAGTAGAGTCCCGTACTACCTTCAGGGAAGGAAGCCACGGAGCCACAGCTCAGACTCGCCTCGTTCTGTTGGCAGACACTTCCTGTTAGTAGCACCTTTCATCTGTACCGCACTTAATTTTTAAAATAAGATTCCTCCTTTAGTTCCCATAATCCCATAATGGCCATGTGCAGCAGGCACAAGAGATATTAGCCCATTTACAGATGAGAACACTGATCTCAGAGAGGATAAGCTCCACACTTCCTGCTAACGTGGCGCAGCGCAGGGCCTAGAGGTCGCGCCAGACTTCCTGGCTCAGGGCTTTTGCTCTCTGTGGAAAGGGGTGAGGGCAGGATGTTCCCTGTCTACCAGGTACCTTTATGGCTAAAAAATCTGACCTGAACTCAGCTTTATTATCAGTCAGCCTTGAGCTTTGTCTGCCATACGTCTAGGGATCAGAGTGGCTCTGTGACATGAACAAAAATCCAGATAAGCCATCTTGATGAAGAAGGAAGCCCCATGCCTTATGCTGCCTATGGCGGCTGTCGGCTTCGTCACAACTTGGCTGCTTCCTAAGCCCCCAGGAGCTGCCATGGGGAAGAGACAGCTCCGCCTGCAGCTGCTCAGCCTGGTGCCCAGAGGTGCCCAAAACTTTAAAATGGTGCATTGAAACAGTACCACATTCTTTTCCTGTCCTGTGATCTGAATTCTGCCAGTACCTCCAGAAACTTATGATTCAACACAGGTATGTTGTGTGTTAGATTCCCACAGCACCCTCAGAAATTCTAGGGAAGGGTCAGATGGTCAGATGAGGCTAGAGAAAGAACCGGCACTCCCTATATCAGAATCGTGTCACCCCGGCATGCCAGAGAGCACCCGACACCGCCACGGAGGCACTGGTGGCCCTCTGCTGACCCTAGGTACTGGCTTTGGTTAGAGATGGCAACATTTCTGGAGAGAGCAGCTGCTTTGTAGAAAATACCACCATTAGTGCCTTCAGTGTACCACACTTTGCTAAAAATTCCTCCTAAAAGAGTCACGTTCTTTCTCTGCAGAAACTTGCCGTCTAGTTAGGGGTCACAGAAGTGAAGTGCACAGGCACCACAGAGTAGCTGCTTGACTACACTTGCTACGCAGGAAGGAAGTGTTCTGCTAGGGAAAGTGAGGGGAGCGAGTGGGTGAGAGGAAGATGGAGATGGTAGCTGTTTTGGGGACAGGATTACGACCACTGTGGGAAGATATGGAGGGGCAGAGGCCATGTTGGCTTTTCAGGGAGCAGTGACATTGGCCCACAGTGAGAGTGCAGTGGTGGGTCGGCTGTGGTCACAGCCGGTAGCTCCCGGGCCGAGTCATCATTTTGGGTTTGTTCTCTGCTGTCATCCCCAGGCCTTCCTTCAGTGGCTGCCGTCTCTGAACCCAGAGCACATCAATGTCGTGGTGACCGGCAAGGACCGCCTGACAACTGGCTTGGTCAACATTGTCAGTTTTGACCTCCTGAGCAAGTTGGAAAAGCAGCTAAAAACTCCTTTTAAAGTTGTCATCATTGTAAGTGACTTGGCAAAGTATTTAAGGTCTTGATCTTGGTGGAAACTTTCTTCTGCACTCTCATGAGTCCAACTCAGTCTCTAGGAGAACAGAAATCATGGTCTCATTTTGTGGTGAACCAACATTTCATTTCTCCAATAAGCAGTTCTCAGCCCTGACTACGTATTAGAATTCCAGGGGATCTTTTTGAAAAATGTGATTTACTAGGTCTGCACTGGGGTTTCAAGCCTTTCTCTCCCTGATGTGAGGTCGGCTGTGGAGGCCTGTGTGTGGACTCTGGACCGCCGGGGCTCTAGGAACTCCAGCCGTGTGCCTTCATCTGGTGCCCTCTTATCAGAACAGCTCAGGCATACTGTTCCAACAGCTCATAAGTTTTCTTCCAGCCAATAGAAGGACACTCCCTCCCCTCCCAGAAAAGCACTCTTTACTCTAGTCCTTTTTTAAAAGGACTTGAGTCCAGATGTGACAGCACACCTCTCAGGGACTGGCTTTCCTTCTTTTGGTCTCTAGAGAAACTTGGTCTGTGCCCCCTGTCAGCACTCACTGGATGCCATGTTCTGGAGGGTGTGCAGCTTCTTGTGTCCCTGCCCCATCTGTCCAGTTCCCACTCCCAGTTCAGGAACTACTAACCGGCATTCAGAGGCAGAGCCTATAATGGATGATTTCCAATGGACATTTACCCTCGGTGTTCCTTTTGGTGAAACAGAGAAACCCAATGCCTCCAGATGATATGCAAGTTTCTTTTTTACTCAAATGTGTAAATTTTAAAAGCCAGTGGTGTTTTCCTTCTCTCTCTTTTTTTTAAATATATTTTATTGATTTTTTACAGAGAGGAAGGGAGAGGGATAGAGAGTTAGAAACATCAATGAGAGAGAAACATCGATCAGCTGCCTCCTGCACGCCCCCCACTGGGGATGTGCCCGCAACCAAGGTACATGCCCTTGACCAGAATCGAACCCTGGACCCCTTCAGTCCACAGGCCAACGCTCTATCCACTGAGCCAAACTGGTCAGGGCAGTTTTTCCTTCTCTTAAAAAAAGAATTCTCTCTTGATTGTGGCTTCTCAAATCTTGCACTCAAGATTAGAGTGCATGTGTCATGTAGAAGGAGAGAACGGAGAGAGCTTTAGGAGGCCCAGGGAAGTGGAGTCTGAGTCGCACAGGTCAACAAGGGACCTGTGCTTTGAGCAGTAGGAACTCCGTGCTTTGAGCACAGGGCTGGCTGTGGGGGTTGGGAAGTACATTCATCCATGTGTTCATCTAACTAGCAGTTGTGCACCAGCTTCGAGCTCCACACAGTGCTGTGCACTAGAACAATCCAGTAGGACAGACGGACACGTGCACTGGTCATTAGAATACATCTCAGTGCTTTCATAGACTTGTGAACCAAGCACTGTGGCAATCAGAGAAGGATCTGTGGTTATGATTTGGACATGAGAATCATACTGTGTTCAGAGCATAAGCAAACTTAAATGTGTAAATTTTTTCTAAGCTAAGAAGATAACAAATCTTTGGGGGAGTCATTTTTGGTTTGGCACAAATTCAAGTGTGGCTTTGAATTAAAAACATTGAAAGAAGTACCCCAGAATGATGGTGACTCTTCTACAATGTGTAGGAAGACTAAAGCCTTCATTTCTCACATGTGTTCCTCTATCAGGTACTTGATGTATAATCGCTGATCTTACAATGGCCCCTGGGCAGAGACTGTCCCATTTCTCAGCTGATGAAAACTGACAGTGAGAGAGGTTACATAATTTGCCCGTAGGCATGAAGCTGGCAAAGTGGAGTCACTGATCACAGCTGGATTGCGTCTGGCTGCAGAATTCCTGTGTTTCTGTTTCTGACTTAACACTTAATCAGCCATGTGATTTTTTAGCAAATGACTTACCACCATGGATGGTTCGTTCTTCAGTTAATTAAGGTCCCTGTCCTCCCCCTACTCCAGAGGAATGTTGAAGGAGGGAATAAAGTGACGGTCCTGCGATGTCACTTTTATATATGAAGGAGAAGCTACTCCTTGTGGTTAGTTATAATAGTGGTCCTTTGTTACCCATTGGTAAAATGGTCCATTCCCTTCCATATCTCTGGACTTTGTGCTACTTTCTCTATAAACGCCTTTTTCTTGGCTGTCAATATGGGCTTATCCTCAGATAGGAGTATAAATGTTATACCCCAGGTTTGTGGGAATACATGCAGTGACATTTGGAGATTCATCTCACATTCCTGTATATTGTGCTTTTTAGCTCACTTTTTTGGTTCATCTTAGCTGAAATGGAATTGAGGAATGGGTCTTATAGGTCATCTTTAGCATCTTTTGATCTTTAGAGCCAGGATCTTCCTGGTATCCGCTGAGGGCTTATTCAGTGGCAGGGCTGTTCTAAGGGCTCTATGTGCCTTAGTCTGTTTAAGACAACCCAACACTAGTACACTGGCTGCTGGTATTATACCCATTTTACAGATGGAGAAACTGGCACTGTAGAGAGGTCAAGTAGTTGCTCAGAGTCACATAGCAAGTAATTCGACTGTGACCAAAATAGAAAAATTTTCCCCAGATACTAAGAATGTATTAGTTCTTCATTGAGCTTTAGAAAACATGGCATTTTCTAGCTTTCTTATGCACAGAATGCAGAGCTATAAATAACCAGGCTCCATGTTCTAAGCATGGCAGGAATCATGTCTTCCTCCCTACTCAAAGTTCCCACAGTACTTTGTCACGCCTGACTCAGTGACAGCACTCAAAATATCGTCTGATCGGTTGTCGGTGTAGCTGACATCCTGCCAGCCCCTAGGGGGCGAGGCCTGGGCCCTAGTGTAGGGCACATAGTGGGTCTGCAGGGCACACAGTGGGTCTTCAGCACATTTTGCTTTAGTGCCGGGCAGATGTTAGGTCTGTCTTACAAAGAAGAAGACACCTTTCAGCAGTTTGTTCAATGCAGCCTGTGAAGTGGACAGGACAGAGGAGTCACTAACCCGCTGTATAGGTGGAAAACACTCAAAGAGAGAAAGCGACTTGCCAGCATGTGGTGGAGAAACTTTCCCAGGCCCACGGCTGTCTGAATGAGAAAGGGCTGAGGGAAGCGTCCTCAACATGATGCTTGCTAGGGTCAAGTTAATGTGGGCTCTGTCTCCTTCTACACAGGATGTGACCTTGTTCACCTATGTGACTGTTTCTTTTCAGGATGAGTCTCACTTCCTCAAAAACATTAAAACAGCCCGCTGTCGCGCAGCTATGCCCCTCCTCAAGGTGAGTCCTGCCGAGAGTGGACTAGGAGTCTGAGCCCTCTCGGCCTAGAGATCCCCCTGTGGTTTGCTCTGGCTGGCAAGGGCTCCAAGGAGAGCAGGGGCTGCAGGGTGGGGGCGGTGGGCCATGGATGTGACTTAGGGCATCTCTGCTCAAGGCTGTGGTGCTCGATTCCATTTCCTTCCTACCATCTTGCTAAGGAACTTGTGGTCGATGCAGTGGTCTCTGCCTCTTAGAGATGAAGACCTGTTGATGATCACATCAACAGGCCAGGACTGCACTCCAGAGCCTCCTGGGCAAGGCGGAGGGAGCACCCCCAGCAGCATGTCCTGTGCAGCTCAGCGGAAACTGCCTGTCTTCTAAGTGGCTGTGGGGCAGAGCTCTCAGTGCTTTGAACCGAGGGAGATGAGTTATGCAGACAGGCCAGTGGGTACCAGCAAGAAGCGCTGGCAAAGCTGAGACATGCCCTGTAAGCCAGTGCCTTTTCTCAGGCTGCCCTAAGCCGTTTTGTTAACAAAGGAGGGTCAGCCATCCACATCCCTTTCTGGGGTGGTCTGAGCTTGAGCCTGAGCACTTCAGCTGGGTGAGTCCTGGCTGCGAGCAGGCGTGTATGTATGTGTGTGCGTATGTGTGCTTCAGCGTAGCTTCAGATCTTCATGTGAAACCATTCTGACGAGCAGTGTAAGCTCCCTGTCTCATCTCACACACTTCCGTGCCCAGGTTTGGTGTCCTGACAGAGGAAAGGCCCCCCCAAATTTCCTTCCATCTTTTTGCAGTGAGCTTTTTCCTAATATTGGGGGCAAGTAGTGCAGGTGGAAAAGTAGCTTTCTTTCTCATAACAAGGCAGAGATCTCAGAGGTGATGTTGGGGAAATCTACTTCTGTTTGTATAGACTGAGAAAACAGGAGTGCGTGTTTAACAGTGTTTCACCAGCTTTCATTGCTTAAAAGAAGCTTTGAGTTATACTGAAACTAGGGAAAGCTAGTTTTTCACATGTTGGGGGAACTTAGTTAGTAGCATTTGAAAAATAACTTAATTTTTCCATCTCCCCACAAAACACACGCAAGTGTCTACTCATTTCAAGTTTTGTTTTGTTTTAGGAGTAGCAAGTTATATGATTGTGGAGAGTGGCTACAGTGTTTGGACAGGTTCAAGCCTCGGACTAATGAGAGGGCACAGTCCTCTCATGGCCACGTGCAAGTCCTAGCTTGGAGGGCAGAGCCCTCCCAGCACAATTATAGCCAAAAGCTATAGTTGTAAGCTTGAACCTATCTTCCGAACACATGGCCCCACGTGTCTGAGTGATGTGGCTTTGATAGAATTCAGATGCATGTACTTGAGTAAGATCGAAATCCACAAGAATGGTTTCAACATCTTGACCACGCCCTTACTTTGTCTTGTGGAATCTGGCTATAAAATGAAGACATGGCTTGTAGTCTATGGCGCTGTTGCTAGCTCTCCGTCAGAGAGGCTCTCTATCAGAGAGGACAGCGTCCCACCCAGACCCAGCTTTTATTCTCTTGTCTGTCTGTTCTCAATCCTTCACCACCCCTTCTCAGGCTCACCAAACCTGGCTGAGCTGGCACGGCATATAAGGTGCCCTGGGGCTGAGTATACCATGGCTGTGCCGGTTTGCCGCATATGATAATAACAAATAATATGCTACATTTTCCAATGGAGGATTATGTCATTTGCTCCAACTTTAAAAATAAAAGTTCTTTACTTAAAAACCTTGATCTTATGCTCATGTTACCCATAAAAATGAGAGCCATTTGTGGACACACTTAAATGAAATGTTTTTCCCATATTGCTGACCTTTGTTTCCTTTTGAAAAATGTTAATAGACCTCAGTACTGTGGCTCCAGTATTACAGCCATAACTAAAATTAAATCTGTACCCCGGATTGTTTAGACAAAGAAACTGCACATGGATAGATTATATCATTAAAGATATAATGGAAAAGCTTCTTAGCGACTGTCTTGTTAATATTTCATTGCCTGGTCAGGCACTCTTGGCCACACACTGGGCCCCATATTGGGTCTGAAATATGTGTTTCTGAGCCAGACCTCTTAAAGCAGCATTTACATATTTAAAGTGACATATTTAAAACAAATCTTTTTAACTGTTATCTAGTATATATTACTCTGCATTTGCCGTAGAACTTGGATGAATTAACGATAAAATATGAGCCATGGGTCCAGCCTGCTGCTTATGAAGGTGTGTGAAAGCCACTCCCTTCCGTAACGTTGACTTCACACGATGCTGGCCTGCTGTCAGGATTGGGTGGAGTGGGGAGAGGCAGTTTGTGTTATTCTATTACCAAACCTTTCACTCTCTGCTGTATTTTCATCTAGGTTGGAATTTCTCAATCTTGGCACTACTTACTCTTTGGGCTGGAAAATTCTTTGTTGTGCGGAGCTGTCCTGTGCATTGTGGGATGTGTAGCAGCATCCCTGGCCTTTACCACTGAAGGCCACATGTGCCCCCGTGTTGTGACAACCAGAATTGTCTCCAGATGTTGCCAAACATCCCCTGGGTGGCAAATCACTTCTTCCCACTCTGTTGAGAACCTCTGATCTAGACACTCTAAGGAAGTGACTGAATATTTTTGGAACAAGAAGAAAGTTAGGAAGAAGTAAAATGTGCCTTGGAAAAGCCATATAGAAAGGGGTAAAGACAGTCAGTTGTGTGGTGGAGGAGCAACTAGACTTTTGGGGATAATCTCTTTGTAGTGTATACAGATGTCAGATTATCAAGTTGTACACCTGAAACTTTATAAGGACCTAATTTATGAGGACCTAACTTAGTACCACTTGACTGTCCCTCTAACTCATGCATATCTTAGCACTATATTCTGGTAACGTATTTCAAGACTTTTAATATTTCAAGATTTTTCAGCAAATGTGCATGAAGGGGTGATGAGTTTATATCATACAGTCTGTGAGGTAGCCGGGCCAGATGGTATCCAGAAAATAAATGTGGGGTTTGTAAATGACGACAGCAGGCTCAGGTTGTAAAAAACTGTGTCATTGTCGCCTAGGAAGTGTAACAGCTCTCTTTCTCCACGGCACTATTTGCCTGGGCTACTAAGAAAGGTTCTATTTTTATATATAAACTAGAGGCCCGGATCCCTTGACCTGGCCTGTGGGGATCGGGCCAAAACCAGCTCTCTGACATCCCCTGAGGAGTCCCGGATTACGAGAGGGTGGTTCTTGGATGATGCACTCTGGAATCGGGCTCCCTCCTCTCTGGTTCCGGGTGTGTCACCCAAGAACTGCAGCTGCCAAGTCACCGCAGCTCCTGCGTTGAGCATCTGCCCCCTGGTGGTCAGTGCGCATCATAGCTACCAGTCAAACGGCCAGTTGCTTAGGCATTATATATATAGATGTGGTAGGCAAGACAAAGCTATACAAACATTTTAATAATCATCTTTAGACCCTCCAACAGTAAAAACCACTGTGAACATTTTTTTTATTTTTCTAACTTGTAGGTCATAGGGCAAAATCATCATTTTTAGTGGCTCGTGAGCATTCAGTTCCATGGACACTCTTCATAATTTAACCGTTAGTGTTGGACATTGTGATGCTATTATAAATAGTTCTGCAAATTAACATCATCCGTATATTCGTAGCTTTATTACTTTAAGATGAATTCCCCTACACAGAATTGCTGGGTCATAATTTTACCTTTTGGTAGATGCCCCTGAGGTCCAGGCTGACCAGGCATAACCGTATCCACTCCCACTCAGCCCGAATCACGGGGTCTTTTTCTCCACTGACTCCGGCACTGAAGGTGTCTTAGCAGTATCTTCTATTTTGAGCAGTGAGGTATGTTTGTGTTTTCTTTAGCTGAGTGTTATGTACAGTGCTTTTTATTGTTACAACAGTATTATAACATGATTAACAGTACCCGATTGTTTTTTAGAGGGAAAAAGGCCCTCAGAATCCCACCATCTTTCCTAATAAATAATTGTTTCTCTTTTTGTGTGAGTACAGTCTACTTCTTGCATGAACTTAAAACAACTTCAGCTCTTTTCTCTACAATAGAACATTCTCTTTGCTCATTTAAAAAAAATCTGTGTGTAGGTTATCTACTTTGAATTACTTAATTGGATTCTCCTTGGTAAATTATATATTCCAATTTGTCCTGCTGTTCACCTGCAGGGCTGCACAAGGAAACTAAACCTGATCTTTAGGTCATCTGACCCAACAGTGTCTACTCATGTGAATCACATAATTTCTATTAGGCTAAATATAAATTATTTTTTATATTGTTCCTGTGTAGGTTTCTTAGGTGTTGCTTTCTTTCGTTAGAGGAGTTAATTATAAAGTGTTCAATTTAGTGTTGATTTATGTAGTTTTGTGCATTTATATTTTCCTAGAATGGAAGTTCTCAGAGGTGGAGGGTGACATATGAATCATGGCAACTGGGCACAATTGAAGGCACTATGGGTGACAGTGGTGACAATGAGGACATGTTGGGGCTGAGCAGGGAGCAGGCTAAGCCATTTCATAACAGATGCGACTCCGTTGTGGTTTCTATTCAAAGCTGGTTTCTATTTCCAAAATCCTGCCTCTGCTTCCTAACACCCATAAACGTCCATTAGCAACGGTTCCATTGCCCCCTGGTCTGGGCAGTGTATGGGGGAACCAAGTCAGTGTTGGTCTATTCTGTAAATATCAGGTGAGGACCCTGGAGGCGATTTCCACCCCCTGAGCTGAGAGCTGCTGCCCAGGCTCCATCCCCGGCAGCAGTAGCAACGACCTGGGGAATAGGTTCGGGCTGATGGCTGATTTTCTGTTATTGATAAGACTTTTCATTTTCCCGGTTTCATTAAAATGGTCTTGAGCTGAGGCAAGCAGTGGTACAGACGCCATTCAAGAAGCTCATTGTTATTTTAATGAGTCTGCATTAAATGCGCAGGAAATTAGAGGTCCTGGGTAATTGAACTGTGGAAAATTATAGCTGGAGAGGCTCACAGCTCTCCTGTCATAATGGAATTCAGTAGAGGTGGCTGCTAAGAGGGCAAAAGTGCATCTTGAGAATTGTATATACTGTATATTTATAAGGAGCCATTTCTCTTCTCTCTGTTGCACCTTTATTTATTTATTTTTATAAGGCAAGTGTATTCATTTGAAAACCTAATTTCCGCCCTAGGTGATTTACTGCACGCAGTTGCCTTATACTCTTTACACTACTGTCATTAACTCAAGGTTACAGCGGTTAACAAGCTGTTTCTAGACAACTGAGCTCCACAGTAGGGTCCCTTCCCAGAGCTGAAATGAATTTTACCTCCCGTAATCTTTGGTGATTACTTGTTCTAATACAATGAGACGTGTCTTTTTTTTTTTTTTTTCTCACCCTCTTTTCCATCTTAATAATAAGAGGTGGGATATTTGGGTCTAATCCCCTTGGACCAAGTTGGTGTCAGGGTAATGAGAAACATGAAGTTCATCAACCAACTGTGTATTTCCACTCTGCCCACTGATGAGCTGTTGCAGACCCGGACTAAGGAAGGTAAATGGATCCGGGTCCCATCTTTAAAGTCCTTAGTACCTGCAGCTTCAGTCAGGGATCTCCAGCTCAGAGTATTGTGCTGCTGAGTTAGTGAGGGCCCTTTTTCCCTCTAAAGAAAATCAAATCGAGAAACTAAGATGGCGGCATAGGTAAACACCGGGAAATTGCCGCCTTACACAACAATTGAAAATTACCGCAAAGGACAGAGCAAACATCATCCAGAACAACAGAAAGGCTGGCTGAGTGTAAATTCTACAACTAGAAGGAAAGAAAAGCACGCTGAGAGCCAGAGGCGCTGCGGAGGTGAAGTGCAGAGGTACGGCCGGCGCGCGCGCGCAGCGGCTTGCATTGCTTCACAGCTGAGCCTCTTCGTGGCTCCTGCTGTGTGGCCTCAGGCAGAGGCTGAATTAGCACCTCCTTAGATCCAGGAGCCACTGTACCCAGTGGTCAGAGGGGGACCATCCAGACTGCAACTCCTCAGATCCATAAGGGACACACTCAGGGAGCAGACTCAGTGAGCACCAAAGCCCCACTGAAGCAAGTCTTGCCCCAGAAGGGTGTCTTCAGCACAGAAGTTCTCCCACTTTAGACACAGCTGATTCCCACAGCCAGTTGGCCTGGAGGTCAATTCCTCCCAGTGATTCTACAACAACCAAGGCACCAAGAGTGCACCAAGAGTGTCCACCCCAGGTAACTGGGGAGGCTGAGCTACTGGGCCCTACAGGACACCTGGCGCGCAGGGCCACTCTATCAACACAGGGAAGCTGCCAAAATGCGGAGACAAAGAAACAGGTCACAAATGGCAGAAATGGAGGAAAGCAAACGATTGGATATAGAGTTCAAGGCCACGTTTATAAGGTTTTTCAAGAATTTTATGGAAACCGCCGATAAATTTAATGAATCCCTCAATAAGTATAGTGAGACCATGGAGGACATGAAAAAGGACCAACTAGAAATTAAGCATACACTGACTGAAATAAAGAATAATTTACAGAGATCCAGCAGCAGAAAAGAGGATCCCAAGAATCAAGTCAAAGATTTGAAATACAAAGAAACAAAAAATACCCAACCGAAAAAGAAAAAAGAAAAGAGATTCCAAAAATATGAAGATAGTGTAAGGAACCTCTGGGACAGCTTCAAGTGTACCAACATCAGAATTATAGGGGTACCAGAAGGAGAGAGAGGGCAAGATATTGAAAACCTTTTTGAAGAAATAATGACAGAAAACTTCCCCTACCTGGTGAAAGAAATGGACTTACAAGTCCAGGAAGCGCAGAGAACCCCAAACAAAAGGAATCCAAAGAGGACCACACCAAGACACATCATAATTAAAATGCCAAGAGCAAAAGATAAAGAGAGAATCTTAAAAGCAGCAAGAGAAAGACAGTCAGTTACCTACAAGGGAGTACCCATACTACTGTCAGCTGATTTCTCAACAGAAACCATGCAGGCCAGAAGAGAGTGGCAAGAAATATTCAAAGTGATGAATAGCAAGAACCTGCAACCAAGATTACTTTATCCAGCAAAGCTATCATTCAGAATAGAAGGTCAGATAAAGAGCTTCACGGATAAGAAAAAGCTAAAGGAGTTCATCACCACCAAACCAGCATTATATGAAATGCTGAAAGGTATTCTTTAAGAAGAGGAAGAAGAAAAAGGAACTCTTACCATTTGCCACAGCATGGATGGAACTGGAGAGCGGATAAATACCACAGGATCTCACTCATTTGTGGAATATAATGAACAACATAAGCTGATGAACAAGGACTGATCCAGAGACAGAGAGGCATTGATTGGACTGTCGGGACTTGGAGGGAAGGTAGGGGAGGGTGGAGGTAAGGGGGAAAGATCAACCAAAGGACTTATATGCAAGCATATAGGCCTAATCAATGGACATGGACAACGGGGGGGGGGGGGGGGGGTGAGGGCATGAGCGGGGGGTTTTGGGGGGGTAGAGGGTAACGTGGGGACAAGGACACATATGTAATATCTTAATCAATAAAAAATATATTAAAAAAAATAAAATAAATAAAAAAAAGAAAATCAAATCATGGCTTACACACTTTGCCCTGGGAGTGAGGTCAGGCTGGTCCTAGGTGTCATTATCTGCTCCTAGGTTCAACGTGGATGTCAGAACCCATGCTGCAGTGCAGGCCTGCGGCTGTGCCCCTGCTTCTGCTTCCTCTCCCAGTGCAGGGTTCTTTGGGTTTACTCCAAGGTCCCCAGGGCACTAAATAGCTTCCTTCTGAATAGTTTTCAACATATGGTGAACATTTGTTAGTTACTTACTCTGTGCCAGGCACTGTGCTACAGAAATGGAGGAGCACCACCTAGCCCTTGCTATCAGAAAGCCTGAAGCCTAGTGAGGGAGACAGAAGATTCAGAATTCGCTGTCACGTGCTAAGTGGCAACGTAGAGATGGCAGAGGGTGCTACAAAGGCTGCTTAGGAGATGACATCCAACTGCTTACACGGGCCATGCCATGAGGCTCTCGGCACTCATGTGCTGTTTCTCTCATCACAGTACCTTCACTTAGAGGTCCCAGTTGTGGGCCACACTGAGCTCCAGAGCAAGGCTGGCCTTTACAGTCTTTGGAATCTGGACCCACCTTGGTTCTGCGATGATCAAACTTGAGAACTCCAGCAGTCAGGGTGCCCAGGAAGTGGAAGGCGTTTGTGTTGCTTTCTGGGCATGGTGCTGTCCCTGGGGCTCTTATCTCATCGGGGCATTTGGGAAATTATGTTCTCAGCTCCTTTGTCTGTTTGTTTCCTAGATGGCCAAGCGCGTGATCTTACTGTCGGGCACGCCAGCCATGTCGCGACCTGCAGAGCTGTACACGCAGATCATTGCCGTCAAGCCAACGTTCTTCCCTCAGTTTCATGCCTTCGGACTTCGCTACTGTGATGCCAAGCGGGTACTTATTCTCCCCTTCCTCATCAGCCCCCCATCTGTCACCTGATTTTGACCCCTACCTTTCTGTTTCTTCTCTTTGGCTGTGGTATGATCAGAAGAGCCCTGACAGGGAGCTGAATTAAGATTTTATCTCTGCCCTCCCCCCCAATTCTGACCCGGGAGTGTCCTTGGAGTCGGATGAGAACACTGCCTCCTAGTTTTAATGCTTATGGTGGTTCTAGCTTAGTGTTTTCCAACAGGGACCATGGCTAACGCGTAGGGCATGGAGCTCAGAATCAGCAGCTCTTGCCAGAGAGAATGGCTCAGAAGCGAGCTGGGGGTGGACTGAGGCGGAGACAGAGGGAAGAGAGTAGATGAGGCTGGTGAAGGTCACTTGGCATGGGGAGGAGTATGAAAAATCCTCTGAAAAGGTGAAAATATATGCAGGCCTTTGAGCAGGTGGCATGGGAGCAAGATCCTGAGCCTCAGGGGGGCTCTCAGTGGACCCTGAGTCTCCATGGGGAGTGCTGCCTCTGGCCTGCACCCTCAGGAGCTAGTCTGTGCAGCTCCGTCCTCCAGAAGTAGCAGAGGGAGCCTGTGACCACAGAGATCTTTGCAATGAAAATCTTGGTTTCTAGAACCTCAGTTTTTTGGTGTGGGTTTTTTTGGGGGTTTTGTTGTTATTGTTGTTGTTCTTTTAGTGATAAAAGAAATTATATTTAATAACATGGGTAAATACAAGAGTGAAAAAAAATAGGATGCAAAATGTCTCCTCCCTTCCACTCTACCTTCCTCCCTACCTTCCTCTCTCTCCTTTTTTCTCTCATATCTGACTGGAAGGTAATGTGCACCAACACGATTACTTTTATAAGCAGAGAAAATCAGCATTTTAAAAATGTTTAAATTACATTATTCCCAAATCCCAGATGCCTCCCGATGGGCCACTGCACCCTTTCGTGATCATTAATCTGATCAAGCAGCCGAGCGCGGGCACTGCCCTCCTCACAGGCTCCTCTGCGTCTCTCCCGAAGCCCCCAGTTCGAAACTTGACTCCTGGTTCCTAGCTGATCTGCTGTGACTACATCTGTAAACTGTGAGCCGCACCCTGAGCTTCCCCTGCCTCTTTCTTGTGGGCAGTGGCCCTGCTGGAGAGGACTGGCTGGGCTCCAAAACCTCATTAACTCAGACCTTAACGATCCCCACTTTGTGATCAAATCACAGATATACCCAGCTACTATTTGCATCAAAGACACTGACTTTGGAGAACTGGCTGGGACTCGCTCGTTGCCGGCCCCCCTGCCATTCATGCGGGAAGAGCCTTGCTCTGCAAGTTCATGATGTAAATCAGACTGTCGGCCTTATTGTTAAATACTTTTTTAAAGAAAATAAAACTTTTTAACTACTTTAAAAATATCCACTTACATTCAAACTAAGTATTTATAATGTAAAATGTAGTGCTTTGTAAAGTTAGTTGCAAACTATTTTTAGCCTGCTACTGAGACAGGAAATTTCTCGGTTATTAAACATACTTCTTTAGCATTTTAATACATTTGTGATGCACTCTCCCCTGGGATCAATCCAGATTGTATATCCTTCTCATGTTTCCTCAAAGCCCTTCATGTGTGATTGGTACCTTTGTCCTCTTTGCAAGTAATCCACTTTCAGAAAAGGATCTTCTTCTCTTCCTTGATGTCTGGGCCCATGGGATACTGTTCAGCCAGTGATTGCAGGGGTTGCAGGTGGAATTCATTGCTGTTACTCCCCAAACTGTGCCCCCTTGTGTTCCTGGTGTCCTCCACCCTCTCCATCCTCAAATTCACCCTTTCCCTCCTTGCTGCTGCTTCCTGACACCACCCAATCAAACAGTCAGGGGCAGTGCCTTCCTCATCTTTGTGTTCTTCCTCCAACTTAGCCTGGTGCCTGGTGCCTGGTAAGTTTTCAGTGACAGCTTGTTGAATTGTGATTATTCTGAAGTCCAATTTAAAATCTTTAGTATGGGTTTTTAAGCTGCAAGATGAACAGCTGATAATGTTAGAACTTAGGAGCATGATATCCAGATTAAGTATATCCTCTTGTTCCCAGCATGATTTTTATTCTGTGCAGCCGGTAGCCCAGGGCTCCCGTTTTGTGTGTGTGTGTCCAGCTTCTCGCATTAATAGAAGCCACTGAAGAGAGTACCCCTTGCCAAGCTCATTTTCAGTCCCATAGCGTGAAGGCATTGGCTGAACTTCCAGTTGATTTCAGATTTTTTTTTTTTAAAGAAACAATTTTTGATTATTTTATTTCTCTATCTTTGACTTTCTCTTTGTATCCTCAATTCAACAAAGGTTTCTTGGACACCTACCATGTCTCCACAATTATACTAGGTCCTCTGGCCCTGGAAAATGAACTAGGTGCACCCTTACCCAGGTGGTGCATAGTCCAGGGGAGGGGGGCCCAGAGGGGAGATGAGTGGCTAAAAATTAAGGAAGCAGACACCCTGGCTGCCTGACTGTAGAAGTCAGTCCTGTTTCCAGGAAGATTGTTAGTGAAAGATGGGGTTATTTTAACTGGTAACATCTCTAGCAGTGTGGCAAGGAGTAGACATTCTTGCTCACTGCCCCTCCTCCCTCCCCTCCCCGATCAAATGAGGGAGCCAGGTTTATGCAGGACTTCCTCTGGTTTCAGCCAGACGGGCAAAAACCTGTGTTCCGGCTCCTCCCCTCAACCCACCACCACTAACACTGCCGTTGTGTTTATGATGTTGCTCTTGGATGTGTTGGTGTGACCATACTGAAAACAACAGGTGTTTACATCCCTGTAAACTTCATCAAATAAAGATCACTGACAGTAGGTGTTACATTGTACAACGGACCCTGTAGGATGAGCCCTAGGAATGTTATTTCTGTACTTAGTATACATGAAAGCCTGACAAGGTCTTGTTTGTTTTTTAATGTAATGGACACCAAACCGCTGACATCTTGCATTTGCTGCTAGAAAGCAAATTAGTGCCAAATTGTAGCACGCCAAGATAGGTGATTTTTGTCCGCCTCATTCCCGACTCCCTTTTCTCTTTCCCTTCCTGTTTCTCATATGGTGTTGTGTTCATCCTTTAAAGCCGCTTGATGTTCTCTGCACAAAGCGGGGAAGGGGAAGTTGTGAGAGGCGGTGACAGCCCTGCTCCTGGGCCCTGGGGTCTCACGTTTGTCTCGATTCTCCTCCACAGCACACCTGGGGATGGGATTATTCCGGCTCCTCCAACCTGGGGGAGCTGAAGCTGCTGCTGGAGGAGGCGGTCATGCTGCGGCGCCTCAAGTCCGACGTCCTCTCCCAGCTCCCGGCCAAGCAGCGCAAGATGGTGGTGGTGGCCCCGGGCCGGATCAGTGCCAAGGCCAGAGCGTCCCTGGATGCCGCGGCCAAGGAGATGACCACCACGGACAACTCTGTGAGTCAGGGGCTGGATACCGGGATTTGGAACTTGTGTTCACAGGTGTTTCTTCCCAGGAGGGGTTCTGTGGAAATTACCCACAGTTCTCTGAACCTGCCTCTCCGTCACCTCTTCTCACCTCCCTGGGCAAGGACAGTGAGCCTGCTTCATGTCTCAGGCTGTCTACTTCAAAAATCTTTTAATTTGCAGTTTTATGCTTGTGGAGATCACTGTTGATGGGTGGTCATCAGGGCTATCTGCAGGATGATGCTATATATTCTGAATATCTCAGAGAAAGATGGAATTTATGCTAAGTGTATTTCAAGAATGCCTCAGTATAGGAACAACTGCTAGAAATTAGTTTTATGTGTATTTGATATATATATTAACCCTCTAACCATCCCATGTCATTTGCTTTAGTCATGTAATTTCTTTAACAAGTTAACGGTTATTTAACAAAATCGAGTTTTCAACCCTTCTTAATCCTTTGTCTCCTTATTACAGTCATTTATGGTTGGCAGGAAGTTGGCAGGATCCCCATTTTACAAACAGGGAAACTGAGGTTCATAAAGGCTATGATTTGCCTAAGATCTCATGACTACCGTGAGGCAGAGCTGAGGCTATATCCAAGCCTGTTACCCCTATATTTTAGGGCCATTTCCAATGTGGTGGTTTTATCATTTCAAAACTTGCATTTCATATCTGTTGTTAGTGTCTTACTATGCTAAGTACCACAAGATAATCTACACCAGCTCCATTTCTGTCCTTGTGGGACGAAACCTAGCAATTTTCATTGCCAAGAAAATTACATTGACATTTTTTACATTATCTGGGCCTGGTATTACCCTGCTTGAAGAGACTTAGATCTAAATGAGCTCTCGGCCTTCTGGAAGATTACAAAACAGATAAGAATGACAAGAGACAGAATGTGTGGTGTGTGTTTTTTTAATGTTATTTTACCTTGTGATTGAGCAGACTAACTGGTAACTTTTAAGAAACAGGAGGGACCTGGTAGGTGTGGCTCAGTTGGCTGAGCTTCGTCCCGTACACAGAGAGGTCACTGGTTTGATTCCTGGTCAGTGCACATGCCCCGGTTTGGGGCTCAATCTCCAGTAGGAGGCGTGCAGGAGGCAGCCAATCGATGTTTCGCTCTCTTTCCCTTTCTCCCTCCCTAAAATAAATAAAAACATATATTTTTTAAAAACAGGTAATATTAAAAAAGAAACATAAGGTAGGCTAGAGGATACATGAATCAATTATCAAGCTCTACTAATTTTTGCCATCTTACGTATAATTATCTGGATGGCCTGTAGTTTTCAGAGTTCACAAGTTGATGTGGATGTACAGACCGATGGTTCTGAAATTGTATTTCAGTGGAACCACGAGAGGAACCAGAGCATTCTGTTGCTAAACTCAGCCTTGGTGATCTTTTCTGGTTTCTACAGATGAGAATTCAATGAATAGAAATTTTTTCTCAATTTTAAGTTTTTTCTTATAACTCTCTTAAACCATTAAGGTCTAACTTCTGTCTACTGTGAACTCTGCCAGATAAGAAAGTCAATGAGTAAGTACAGCAACTAGCACATGAATGGAAAAAAATTCAGAAGTGTGATATTTTTAGATGTGAATTTGTCAAATGCTATGTTTTAGTTCCTTGTGTGTGTGATGGGAACATGTCTATCGGCATTTCGTGGGCTTCCCTGATGAACACCCTTGCCTGCACTTGGTCCACCTTCTGAAACAGATTGAGAGCCAATGTAAACAACTGAAAAGGCAGTCAGTGGGCATTAGAATTGAGGATGAACGTCCCATTAATTGGCCAAGAGGCAACTGTAAATTGTGCCGTGTGGCCAACAAGAAAGAGGTGTATGGGAATTCTGTACTTAGTGCAGCAAGGTTTGAAAGCATTTTTTTAAACTTTCCACCGCATCATCCCTCAGGTTAGGTGAGTGCTCTTCCAGTGGTTTCAGATGTAACCTGGGAGTTTGATTTCCTGGGTTTACAGCTGTGCTGTGAAGTTGATTAGGCTGAGCCATGGGATTCAAGAATGTTAGGTGATTTAAAACTCTGGTAGCTATGCAAGTCCTTTAAATTATTTGGCATACTTTGATGTTTTCTTACCTAAAAGAGGAAGCCATGGCCTGCCTCATGGGCTTGGTGCTGGAAAAATACATCAGGGGAATGCCGACTGCTCAGAATCCCACCTGTAGGGTGATTATCATCCCGCTTCTTCAGCATCCCAGAGTCTTAATGATATTTTGCAGATTATGAAAATGAAGGCTAATTTGCAGTGTAATTCTTAAAGAATCCAGCAGAGAAAGAGCCTGGAGCTCTCCCCAGGCCCATGCTTGAGAGTTTCTGTGCTTCCACGGGGTCCTAGGAAAATGAAGAGTTTGTCCCTGAAAGAGAAATTGAGTTGATACAGATTACCTTCATTGTGATGCTGAAGCCAGATACTACATTCTTTCTGATAATAAGTCCTTGAAAATGTGGTTCTCCTTTGTGTTCTTGAATGTAAATTCATTTTTATAGTGGAAAATCCAAGTAGAAAACAGGTTTATGAGCGTTGCGATTTGGACCATCAGAACCTTTCCTACTCTAAGGCCACCCATTTGGCACCACCCTAACTTCACTCAGAAGGGGAGCCAGTGTCAGCTGGGAGTTAGACTAGATGGCCGTTGACACCTTTCCATCCTTGACCAGCCATGAAATCCTGAGCCAAAAGAGTAAATAGGGAATCATGGTTTCTTGGTTTTGATCAAATAAGAGGCCCTGTGGGTCTATAGGAAGTCGCCCTCCCCCACCCCCCCATTTTTATAGTTACTCTTTAGGCCCAGGTTTCCCTGCAGTTTTGTACAATTTCATGGCTCCAGCAAAGCACTGCTGACTGTCAAGAAGTGGGTTTTCCTTTGTTCCCTCACACCTTCCCATCTGGAGGAAGACATTTTTTAAAAAGCTTTAAGTCACGGAAGCCAAGGTGAAACAGCCAATTTATAAAATGTAATGTGCGGCTAAAGCCTTTTTTCATTTTCAGCTGAAATAATAGATACTATTCACTGGCTAAGAAAAGCTAGCTCTAATCATCTTTTGTCTAAAGCCATTTTTGATCAGCAAGACCAAGAACAGAAAAGTGGAGCAAGTCCGTGCAGACTTCCTGGTGACAGTATCAGTTCACCCTTCCGCCGCTTGACAGTCCGTTCAGATTTCCAACATAGAAAAAGAAATTGGAAACCCCAGTGGGTCTAATTTAATAAAAGTCCAGGGGACAGGGACAAAAAATGCAGGTATTTTAAAATTTCCTGGCCCATGGCTAGCAAAAGAAATGAGATCATTAATGGACTAGTATTCTGTCTACCCAGTTTGGGGGAGTTCTTTTTTAAAGATGAAACTATTGATTTCTCCCACAATAAAAATTTAATAGATGCCTATTGTATAAATTCTGAAAAATAAAGTATTTACAATAAGTAATATTTATTAAACATGCTTTAGAATCCTATCTAATAAAGGGAATATGCTAATTGACCCTCACACCATCGCAAAGATAGCGCCTACAGCCAATAAGGAGGGAATATGCTAATTGACTGCCCTGTCCTCAAAGATGGCAGCACCCACAGCCAATAAGGAGGGAATATGCTAATTGACTGCCACACCCTCAAAGATAGCGGCGCCCAGTCCCCTCAGCCCCCCAGCCACCCAGGGCCAGCCCAAGGTGCAGGCAAACCTCGGATGGCGGCTGCCCAGCCGCCCAGGACTGCCCGAGGCTCAGGTAACCAGGGCCGGCCGAGGCTTGTGCTGTCAGCCGTGGCAGCAGCAGAGGTGTGATGGGGCATCACCTTCTCCTGATTGCTGGGTCATCTCCCACCCCTCAGGGCTCCTGGACTGTGAGCTGAGGGACCCACCCTCCAGTGCATGAGTTTTCATGCACTGGGCCTCTAGTTACACTATAAAATTGATTCACTCATCTCTTTTATCACCTAATTTCAGCATTAATTATTATTTAGATTTTTAAATGTATGTAGATTTTGCTTCAAAATACATATTATTTATATATACATCTATACTAATAAAAGGGTAATATGCTAATTCGACCGGATCAACCGGATGTCTTCTGGATGTCCGACGTCCTTCCAGACAAAGCCATGGTGGCGGGGGCTGAGGTAGAGGTGGTTAGGGGCGATCAGGCCAGCAGGGGAGAGCAGTTAGGGGCAAGATTGGGCCAGTGTGGGGGAGCAAGCAGTTAGGGGCTAGATCAGGCCAGCAGGGGAGCAGTTAGGGGTGATCAAGTTGGCAGGGGAGCAGTTAGGGGCATCAGGCAGTCAGGCAGAGTGGTTATGGGCGATCAGGCAGGCAGGCAAGTGGTTAGGGGCCAGTGGTCCCAGATTGCGAGAGGGTGCAGGCCAGGCTGAGGGACCCACCTGAATTTCGTGCACTGAGCCTCTAGTTTATATATAAATATATATAACTTATGTATGTCATAAGCAATGTATATATATTTAAAGCGGAATTGGAATCATGTAAACATACATTATGGTTACAAAACTGTATTCATGATTACAAAACTGTATTCATTCTTTTCCATATTGTTAAATGTCCTTTTAAAACGGGTGGGAAACATCTATCCCGAAGGCCGAATAAGGCCCAAGAAATCATTTGGTCTGGCCCTGCCAAAGCATTAGGAGTGAGTTAATTAAATGTTTGACCAAATATAGCAGGCTAATTTTTAAGTTGATAATTTTGTGTGGTCCACGGATGATGTTATAAATATCCAAATAGCCCTTGGCAGAAAAAAAGGTTCCCCACCACTGTTTTAAAACATAATATTTAAACATAGCTTAGTATTTTGTCACATGGTTATATTAAAACTAGGGGCCCAGTGCACGAAATTCATGCACTGGGTGTGTGTGTGGGGGGGGGGGAGTGTCCCTCAGCCCAGCCTGCCCCCTCTCACATACTGGGAGCCCTCAGGCGTTGACCCCCATCACCCTCCGATCACAGGATCGGCCCCTTGCCCAGGCCTGACATGTCCGGCCCGGGCAGCGGGGACCTGCAGTGGCAGCGGGGGGGGGGGGGGGGGGGGTAGGGGGGGGCCGCGATCGCGTGGGCTCCGCCCCTGCCCCTGCAGGATGCCTCTGGCTAAGGCGTCCGGCCCGGGCAGCGGGGACCCACAGCTGCAGCGGCCCCGTGATCGTGGGCTTCGCTTTAGGCCCAGGCAAGGGGCCCCTAGCTCCTGGGACTGCCAGCTTCGACCGTGCCCAGCTCCCATCGCTGGCTCCACCCCTACTTCCTGCTATCACTGGCCAGGGCGGAAAAGGCACCTGATTCTCCGATCATGGGCCGCCTTTGCCCTGCCCCCCAGCTCTTAGCTCCCCCCTGGGTTTCCGATCACTGTCAGTGGCAGGGGGCTTCTTCCTGCTTTCCCTTTCGCCTCCCTGCATTGTGCCTACATATGCAAATTAACCGCCATCTTGTTGGCAGTTAACTGCCAATCTTAGTTGGCAGTTAATTTGCATATAGCCCTGATTAGCCAATGAAAAGTGTATCGTCGTACGCCAATTACCATTTTTCTCTTTTATTAGTGTAGATTTTGCCAACCATTTTTAGTTGTATATTTAAGTTAATTTAACTGTTCACTGTACTAAGTATACTACACTGGAAAAGTAGCTTACATGTAAACTTATGCACATCTGATAATATCATGAGGATAAATTTTAAGGCGTAAGTTGCTGGGTCATCAGATTGGCATGTTTTTTTTTAAATTGATTTTAGAGAGAGGAAGGGAGAGAAACATTGGTGTGAGAGAGAAAGATTGATTGGTTGCCTCCTGCATGCGTACAGACCAGGGATCGAACCCGCCACCTCTTGCTGTAAGGGACAACGCTCCAACTGAGCCTCACTGGCCAGGGCAGGTTGGACATTTTTGGAGGCTTTGGTCCACATCAACACATCATTCCCAAAAGGTCAGCCAGTGTGCCATCCCACCAGGCATGTGCATGAAGGTGCTGGTTTCCCCACACCCACCTCGTGATAAATCTTAGGGCACAGTTTCTGAAAGTGCCCTTCGCCATTTGTTTTGCCCTCTCCCTTTCTTATTCGCAGGTGCAGAGTGGGTGTGGGTAGGAGGAGTTTTGACAGTCTCCAAAGGACACAGGAGAACTGCAGACTGAGGATGCCTGGGGTACAGTCTGCAGACAGTGGGAGCCTGGCTCTGTCCCCCTACCAGGAACCACAGGAGGTTAGAGGGCCTGACTTGCTGCAAGGGACCTTTTGAGGGTATATGAATGGACTTCATGAGCTCATTGGCCACAAGCAAAGGTTGCACATGTGTCCAGAGCCTCATCAGAGGTAAACTGGGCCTGTAGCTGAGAAACAAGTTCAGATACACTGCCGTGGAGTCGCATCTTCAACACGAGTTTCAGCTGTTTGATTGGACTGTGGCCACCAATAGGAGGGACAGTGCCTCCACTGCCAGGACACATATAAGTTAGATGGGTGCACTCTGCCAGTGTCCCCCCAAATTCCTGTGTTTCCTGGGTATCTTCTTGTCAAGACCTGGAGGAAAGTTATTGTTTAAAGCAAGAAGCCCTTTTGACCTGGCAGCATTTTTGCTAGTGGAAGGAGACAGCTATCCTGCATCTCTGGGAGCCCAGAGTGGTAGTAGATGTTACCTTATATTCTGATGAAACTATTTGAGCATCTCCTGTGTTCACATTCTTTACTAGGATTTATTTAGGTGCAAACTGTAGAGAAAACATGTTTGTTTTTCTCCTGGGAAGTCATTTACCTTTTGTGGGAGACATACCAGAAACACTTGACTAATGGTTTGAGATGATACAAGAATAAACTAGTCGCAGTCCATTGGAATTGATTTAGCAAGTCTTGGATGGAGGTGAGCTTATCAGTTGGGTATGGACACAGCTTGGCAGAAGAAAGGGAGCAAAGAACGTGGGCAGTGCCATGTCGTGTGTAAGTTGTCCCCAGGCCGTAGTGAATAGGTGTGCTAGCAAGGCTGCACGTCTGCCTTTCACGTGAGCATGCGTGCACGGTGCAGCTCCCCCTGAAATGCCTTTCCAAAGAGCTTCCTCCTGCCTTGCCCCTTGGATTCTCACACCAGTTCCCGGAGGGTGACAGAGTGGCTACCATGTTTCCGATGACAGAATGGAGCTCAGGTAGTTCTGTGGCTGAATTGAGTGGTAAGTCAGGGTCTCGGCTCTGGTAACTGGTGCTAGAGCTTTAGGATTTGTAGAGCTCATAGTAGCGATAAGCATGTCAGCTTAGCTCAGAGTCCTCAGAGTGGGAGACTTAAACCCTCGACTTCTCTTCCCACAGAAAGGACAGCAGAGAGAAGCCCTCATTCTCTTCTTCCACAGAACAGCTGAAGCCAAAATCCCGTGTGTCATGTAAGTGGTCACCGAGTGCGGACTTCTCTCTCATCTTTAAAAAGAAACACCTGTTGCCTTAGCTGGTTTGGCTCAGTGGCTAGAGCGTTGGCCAGCAAACTAAAGGGTCCCAGGTTTGATTCTGGCCAAGGGCACATGCCCGGGTTGTGGGCTCGATCCCCCCAAGTGGGGGGCGTGCAGGAGGCAGCCAATCAATGATTCTCTCTCATCATTGATGTTTCTATCTCTCTCCTTTCGTCTCTGAAATATATATATATATATATATATATATATATATATATATATTTTTTTTTTTTTTTTTTTTTTTTAAAGAAAAGAAACACCTGTTATCTCAGGCTGCCAGAATGGTGGTGCTGCTCTGCGAGAAGGGGTCAGAGACTCCAGTCACTGCCACCTTGAGTGTGAGGGTTCAGGCCCCACAGCCTCCTCACCCACAGGCATGGGCAGGTTTGCCTCGAGCGCTCCCCGCTGTTCGTGGGTCCCTGTGAGATCTTGTCTTAACCCAAGTGAGCTGGAGCTGCTGTCACTTATGAGGAGCGTGGGGTGACCCAGACGCTAAGGGAAGTTTCTCTCTTGCTAGGAGTACTGCTCACTAGCCCATACGAAAATATGCAGGGTTTTGGGAAAGACAGAGAAGCTGCCTTATGTGATTCTCTGTTCTTCCCCAAAGACATGACATTTCAGTCATTCTTACCTACGTGAAAGGAGAATCTCAGAGTTTGTTCAAAAGATACAGGCAAGTGGCCTTTGCCACACTGAGTTCTCCTTCCGCCTTATAACTAAGTCTGAAGTAATTCCTATTCTTAAAATTATCCACTGACTTAAAAAATCTCAATTGTCTCCCCTTCTTAAGAAACACCCACTCATATTCGATATCACCAGGGTGGAAACTTGAGGCAGTTCTAATGATGTGCAGTTTGCCTCATTTTTCATTGTTTAACATTCATGTGAGACTCTGGCAGGATAATGGTCCAAGTGATTAAATTTCAATGAAAATGAATTTGGTGTGGGTTGAGCAGAGCCAGGTTGGCTGCAGGGACCGAGATCTGTGGGTGAATTGAGACCCACAGCCTCCCCTCCTCACTCAGCCACCAGCCCCCTGGCCTCACCAGCCTCTCCCTCCGCACCGTAAGTGCAGTAAGGGTGAGTTCACGGTGGTGTTCAGGTCTAAGATTCTCCACAAAGCTGCGGGATGCTGGCCAGCTCTCTATCACCCTCTGGGCATGGCCTTTTCATTTACAACACTGTGGCAAACTCCAGATGTGTTTTTACAGCCTGCAAACATCTCGCAGAAACAATCCGAATTGTCCCCACCCACCAGTCCATTTCTCACTGCTGCCAAATAGCAGATGGCACGAGTGTCAGTCCCCTCCCTCAGCTCGTGAACTGCAAAATCCAGGGTTGGTGGAGTGCTAAGCCTAGAAGCAACCATATTCCTTAGAAATTATAAATCTAATCATTTGCCACCTTATAAACTTGGTAATACCTTGTCTTAGTCCATTCAGGCTGCCATAAAAAAAATACTATAGACTAATAAATTATAGTGGCTTAAACAACAAATATTTCTCGTAGCTTTGCAGGGGTCCTCAAACTACGGCCTGCGGGCCACATGCAAATACAAATATTGTATTTGTTCCTGTTTTGTTTTTTTACTTCAAAATAAGATATATGCAGTGTGCATAGGAATTTGTTCATAGTTTTTTTTAAACTATAGTCCGGTCCTCCAACGGTCTGAGGGACAGTGAACTGGCCCCCTGTTTAAAAAGTTTGAGGACCCCTGCTCTAGAGGCTAGGAAATCCAGATTAAAGGAGCCGGCAGATTCAGAGTCTGGCTTGCAGATAGCCGTATCCTCATGTGTCCTCACATGGTGGAAGGGACCAGAGTGCCCTCTGGGATCTCTTTTATAAGAGCCCTAACTCCACCACCTCCCAGAGGCCCTACCTTTCAACACCATCACACTTACGAGTTTTGGGAGGGAACACAAACATTCAGTCCATAACATACCTTGTACATACTTTTTCAAAATTCCATTATAAATTATGTAGTGCTTTATCGTTTCCAACAATTTTGATATCTGTTAACTCATTTCACATTTACAGCCTCTTTGTGATACCAGTAGGATAAGTCATATCGACCCCATTTCTTAAATGCAGAAACTGAGTACATCTCATGGAAATCTCTGCACCTGAGAGTCACATAGCTAGTAAGTAGAAATTAGATTATAAATCTTAAAACTCAGCCCTGGCCAGGTAGCTCAGTTGGTTAGAGCATTGTCCTGATAAGTCCAGGCTGTGGTTTGATCCCTGGTCAGGGCACATACAAGAAGCAACCAATGAATGGTTGGAGCAGCAGGTTGATATTTCTCTCTCTCAGATCAATAGAGAGTTAAACAAGGAGAAATGGTTAAGATGGTAAATTTTTTTTAAAATCTCAAAGCTTTAATTTTTTCTGCTAGTTGTTTGGGTTTTTAAATTGTTTGTTTGTTTGTTTTTGCTGTTGTCTGTGTTCATTTTAATGGGCATCTTTCAATATAGAAGCCAAGGTTATTGTGATAGGTGAGCATTCCAGCCTGGTGACTTAGGGGTGTGGGGAGGGCAGAGCAGAAGCCGTGTCTGCAGTGTAGAGGGGAGAGAGGCACTAGGCATATTGGAGCCTGTGGTGATTATGAGCCAAGTTAATTTTATGGCCTTGTGACTTTTTAGCACTGTAGCAATAAATATTTTTGCTTATATCATGGCAAATTTTATGTCTCTCAAACTAATTAGATTCTATTTAGTACCAACGATCCAAAAATTGAACTCAAATCCATACCCTGACTGGCCATAGTGATGTTAGAAAATAAATCTTAGATGTTTAAATAACAGTCCACTTACCTTTCTACCACCTGCTTATAACAGGAAACCTTAGATCTGTCCTGCTCTAGGGTGGACAGTGTCTGTTCTCTGTGCTAACACACCTGCATGTGAGCATGGCCTCAGGCAGAGGAGAGCCCCTTCTGTCCCGAAGCTCACCTCTCTGCTGCCCTGCAGGAGCCACTGTGAGCTGGACTGGAGTGTGAGTCCTCTCTGGGGTGTGCTGCCCGGCGACTCTCCCCTTCCCTTAAGGCCCCTGCTAAAGATAAGGGTGGGAAGTCAAGAAAAAACACCGTGCGCCCTGGCCCTTGTGGCTCAGGTGGTTGGAGTGTTGTCCCGTTCACCAAACGGTGATGGGTTCTATTCCTGGTCAGGACACATACCCAGGTTTCTCTCTCTCTTCCTCCCTCCCTTCCTTCCTTCCTTTCTTCTTCCCTCCCTCCCTCTACAACAAAAATTTAAGAAAATTACATGAAATGAGAGAGAAAAAAATACAGTGCACAGAGGAGAGAAGTAAATTAAAGGGAGAATAAAGACCAAGCAAATCAGGTCCTTCACCCTCTATTGCTTTGCCTCAGGAAAGAATTCCCTTACTACTGACTGACCTGCTGGCCCTGCAGTGGGTGGTCTAATGCAGGAGGGAGCTGAGAGCTCTCCCTGACCGTCTCTTCAGGATTATTACTTAGACCTCAATAGTACATTTCCAGAAATGTGATTACTGACAATAATCCCCTAATCCCTTTTCAGATCTATAGACAACACTTTAATTTGTATTGAAAACACATTATAATGATGTTAGCAGCCAAGTGCAAACTGTTAATTATCTTCATGATCCCAGGTAATAAGACTGTTTCAGTAACATATCAAAAGATACATAAAGCAAAAGGCTTCAATTTCTTTGTATATGGGAGATGACCGAAAAGTATGGAAGAACTCACGTTGCACATGGCAGAAGATGGCTTGCTTCCCACAGCTCCTAATCTCTCTTCTATTCAAGTGACCTGGCATGAGGGAAAGGGGGAGAAGTGAGCTCTCGGGGAAGGGAGAGAATGGGCCAGGCAGGGCAGGTACCCCAAAGGTGTCTGATACAGGAACGAACAGTCATTTGTCAGTAATTAACCTCAGCGGGATGAGCAGATGTTTAATTTGTGCTGTCATTTCAAATGCAGTGAATATATCCTGGACCTGCTGGAAAGTGGAAGAGAGAAGTTTCTAGTGTTTGCACACCACAAGGTGGTTCTGGATGCAATTACTGAAGAGCTGGAGAGAAAGGTAAGCTTCCTTTGAAAGTCCACACCAGATGCCTTTATTGTTTGTGGCGGCTGCTAAGTTGTTCTGAGCAGGTGGAGGTCAGGTCAGCAAAGAAGTGAGAGGATGGTTTCTGGAAGCATTGCTAAATGTTTCTGAAGAATCATTCTTGCTTGTAAAACCACAGGGCGGGTCAGAATATTCCAGCAGTGCATTTAACTTCCTCTATACTCTGTACGGATAGCCCAAGAATCTTGCTTTGGGAACATCTCCCAGTGGGTCTTCCATCATTCTGTGTAAATAATTAGAAAATTGACAAGAGATGAGGTAGCAGAAATCGTCTGTCTATGTGGAGACAAGTATCTCTATCAGTGTCCACTTTCTTCCTTTTTTCCTCCTGTTGAGGTGGCTTTGTTAACTGCACACGGCCATGCATAGACTTCAGTACAGTTTTGTGGCCCTCAGTAAATCGGGTGAAAATCTTCCTAGAAGATTTCCTAGGAAAACTTAACACATGTTTTCACCCCTTTTTCATTTTTTGTTAAATTTGAGATCATAGATTACCTTTTGTCTTCCTTCATCTTTTACATTTACGTACTATTTTAAATATGTGAAAGAGTATAGAGAAATATACAACAAACTCCTGTTTCCCCATCCAGCTTGAATAAATGGAAAGTTTTGCTGTATGTATTTCAAAGTTTATAGTTCAAGTAATAAAATACCTTAGTAGCGCTCTGTTCCATTCCCCTTCTCCCTCCCCACCTATAACCTCTGTCCTGACGCCTCCCCACGCTGCTCCCGCAGAAGGTGCAGCACATCCGCATCGATGGCACCACCTCCTCCGCAGACCGGGAGCAGCTGTGCCAGCAGTTCCAGCTGTCCGAGAGGCACGCCGTGGCCGTGCTGTCCATCACCGCCGCCAACATGGGCCTCACCTTCTCCTCGGCCGACCTGGTGGTGTTCGCCGAGTTGTTTTGGAACCCAGGGGTAAGGGGTGCAGAAGACGTGAAGCCCCCGGGCATGTTCATGGCTGCAGGAGGGAGGAGCTAGTGTTGGTGGGTAAGGCAAGGTGTCTGCAAGCTGTCCCTGGGGCCAATGCATCTTCCATCCGGCTCCGTTAGCCCTCAAGAGCGTTTACTTTCCACATGTCAGTCTTCACTTAAAGACTTATTTGGCTAGCTCTTAGATCTTCACAACCCCCTATGTAATAGTATTGACACTATCTTATCAATGGGGAAACAAGTTTTAGAAGGCTAGAAGGATGCATAGATGTCACCAAAGAAGGTAGCTCATAACAGCACCAGGCCGCAGCCCGGGCCTCTGGCTGTAAGCTGCTCTCGCCAGTGTGGCCACAACAGGGCAACGACTGTGGGTGTTCCCTGAACATGGTCACTGGCCCTGTCTGCTCAGCCAACGGCTGTGTCAGTAGATAGAAGGCATTTTTTTTGGACTCATAAAATTTTCTCCTGAGCTCCAGAAAGAGTTTGTTTCTCCTCGCATGTTCTCACGTACTGTGGCTCTCACTGGCCACACATGGCGACCGCTCTAGTGATGGGTGGGCTTCAGGTGGAATGCACTTTGTAATGGAAACAGGCTCCTGGTTTTCATTATTCCTTCAGGGCCACCCCCATGTCAGTGCCACCCTGCCCCCCTCACAGCCGGCCTCTCCCTTTGGTGCAGTATTGATTTAGCTAGGAGATGACTGTTCTTATTTCATGGAGAGAAGAATGGAATGTGCCAATTTCCTTCGTTTGCCCTTCATCCCAGCCTGATGGCAGAACCGAGGCCCGCTCCCCCTTCACAGCACCGAGCACCGGGCCCAACACGAGAGGCCATCACAGCTCTCCAGCTGCAGTTTAGTTTGCCAACCGGTGTTCTGTTTGGTTCTGTCTTTTGTCAGATGACAGGTCATTTGTAGGTAGAGGCCGGCAGGTCCTCCGCCGCGAGGCATGGCAGTGAAATCCTTAGAGGAAGAAGGGTTGTGCTGGGACTTGGGGGCCAGGGGCTGCCTGCTGTGGTGGGCTGAGCTGCTTCCGGCCTTGCCCTACATACCCTGACCCCCGGGCCTTGCAGGTGCTGATGCAGGCCGAGGACCGGGTGCACCGCATTGGACAGTCGAACTCCGTGGGCATCCACTACCTGGTGGCGAGAGGCACGGCTGACGACTACCTCTGGTACGGCTGGCCACCAGCCCAGCGGTTGGGCTTGAGCAAGGGTGGACACCGAGGATGTATTTCCTTTTCTCCCTAAGGGCTTCTGCTTTTGCTAAGGGCTTCCTCCCACTTTCATCATGAGCACATCCAGCTTCCCACCAGCATTCACTGGGGACCTGCAGGGTGCATGAGGAAATCATGCAGGAATAAGGGGGTGTGGCTCCTTCCCTGCTGACCTGAGACAGGGGAGGAGACTGACAGTGATGCGGCACTTGCTGAGACAGGGTGCAGACTCCTTCCCCCTTTATGATGAGGCTGGGACAGGTGCTGGGCCATCGGGAGAAGTGGCTCACCCTGGGCCAGCTGGTGCTTCATCAGCACAGCTGGGGTCTCATGTCTGGTACCTAAGCAAAAATCCCAACATGCCCTTCCCATTTCCCCCTTCCTGATAGTAACTTTCCTGATCTCTCAGTTTCCACCACTCATCTGTTTCCAGCTCGTGACTGAGAGGTCTTAACTCTACAGCACGTGTAGCTCATCCCTACTTCCTTCTCTTGGTTTAGTGCAGCGGTTCTCAACCTGTGGGTCACGACCCCTTTGGCGGTCGAACGACCCTTTCACAGGGGTCGCCTAAGACCATCCTGCATATCAGATATTTACATTACGATTCATAACAGTAGCAACATTACAGTTATGAAGTAGCAACAAAAATAATTTTATGGTTGCATCACAACATGAGGAACTGTATTTAAAGGGCCAGAAGGTTGAGAACCACTGGTTTAGTGGGTTTGTTAATTGGGCAGCTCATAACAGCATCAGGTTCAAAATGTTCCAGGGAGACAGCATCTATTTCCTACACATCTTCTAGCAGAAAGAATTTTGAGCCTGATGATACGAGTACGAAATTGGTTGGTTCACAGTTGAGAGGAGGCAGGTACTTCAGGTGGACGTTTGTGCCTTGAGAGATGCGACGATGTGAAGCAGCAAGCATGTCACTGCCCCTAAGAACAAGGAGGGTGGTCTGCTTTCATCTGCGTTCTGTGCCGGTTGGATTCACTGCGGCTCGTTTCTTCCCAACAGGCCCTTGATCCAAGAGAAGATTAAAGTTCTGGGTGAAGCCGGGGTTTCCGAGGCCAATTTTTCAGAAATGACAGAAGCCACTGATTACATCTACAAGGTAACAGCAGCACATGGCTCCTCACCACTGGGGCCGAAGGAGGCCTTAAGCGGCCTGCCAGCCCTTGGGGCCTGAGCAGGAAGGCATGAATCACTCCTGGGACCGCCCCCGCCAGGAGCTGGAAATGATGGTCTGCAGTCACTCTCAGGCCAGTCCACGTGTGCTTCCTTATGGACAAGTGATGGCACTGACTCCTGCATTGGACCGTCCCTCGGAGGTTCTCATAACACCAGGGCTTCCACACGCTGCTCCTTCCATGAGACCATCTCAAACTGGCAGAAAACTCCCTGTGCAGCTGTTGAGTTATTGCAAAAAGTACATAGCAACACCTAGCAGGGCTGCCCCCAGAACATGTCCTCAGCGCAGAATGAGGCATGTTCAAAACCAGGTGCTGCTTTTATACCACTTATTTCTGCTCGGACATTGCATTTTGTTCTCAGTGTCTCCCATTTTATAGAGGGGTAAACTGAGGCATACAGGACAATGAGATTTGCCCACAGTCACAGGCCTTGTCTTGCCAGCCCTTCTTATGACCTAAGAGAGAAAGAGGCTAGTGCCTCCTTCCATGGCCAGGGGGCCTTGTCAGAGGTGCTGAGAGGAGGCTTGTTGGCCTCTGGAGAGGACAGCTGGGGCCCAGCAAGCCTGCCCTGGCTTAGTGCTCCAGCCCAAAGGCTGCCACGGTCTCTCCCTCCTCCGTTTAGGAGCAAGAAGCCCTTCCAGAGGCGTGCGTTTCCACTCGGGTGGTTGACATGGAAGTGAGGACCCAGGCAGTACTGCCTGCTGGAGGGCGACTCCCGAGAGAATTGTTTGTAACTAGAGCATAGTGGTCGAACCTAACGCAGGGAGGTAGCCTTGCAGTTTCTGGTCAGGAACGGAGGTGCCGTCTTTTTCTTGTGGAAATACCAATCCTGACCTTGGAATTTGCCTGCTCCAAGTTAGCAAATAGTGTTACCATCACCATAGTCGAATGCATGTTAACAGTTATTTCACCCTGGAACAGGTTGCCTGCGTGGCATTTCCTTGGCCTTGCTGTTCAGATGGAGGGTGATGAGAGCCCAGCACAGCGAGGGGCTGGCCTTAGTGGCCTTTGATTTCACTTCCCATCTGAAAGGACAACCATTTCTCTTTTTTTTCTTTATCTAATGAGCAGGAGAGAAGATGTCTGTCAGACACTAGGCAGCAAGGCTGTGTTAGTGATGCGCGGCCTGTGCTCACCCTCACACAGGGCCGGCCCGACACCAGGAGATGTACGGCCCCTCCCTGTGTTCTCCCACCAGCCACGTGGCAGGGAGTCAGGGTGGAGCTGGGTCCTTTCATCTTTCCTTTTCTTTCTCTGATGAAGGACCCAAAGCAGCTGAAGATCTACGACCTATTCCAGAAGTCCTTTGAGGAGGAAGGAAGCGATAAGGAGCTCCTGGAGGCGGTGGAGGCCTTTGACCCGGGAAGTGCTTCAGGAACGTCGGGAAGTGCTTCAGGAACATCGGGAAGTGGCTCCCAGGACCTGGGAGACTGGCTGGATGGAGGCACAGCGACGGGCAGTCCAGAGAAGAAAAGGAGATTTGAATTTTTTGATAACTGGGACAGCTTTACCTTTCCCCTATAAGAAGGGCAAAAAAAGCATTTAAAAAATCATGGAATTCATTAACAAAATATAACTTTTGTTTTTAACACCTGTGCTCCTTTTATCATCATCTGGGTGCTGGTGCTGGTCTCTAGTCACAGCGAGTTTCCAGGTCAAGGGTCAGCGTTTCCTTTCCAACCTCACAATGTGTGGGTTTATTTGGGTCTTAATTAACCTCAGCTTTCCTGGTCCACATCCCCTAAAATGTGAAATTTTAAAATTGATTGACCCAAAAAATATTTATAAAGCACCTACTATGTGCCAGGCACTGTTCTGGGTGCTGGCAGTAATTCACCGAACACGTGAGAAAGTGTACACCTTTGCAGAGGCTATCATATCAAGGGAGAGGCAATAGTTATATATCCCAGGAAGAGAAAGAAGGAACTAGGCGTAGAGCAGGAGTTGATAAGTTTTTTCTGTACATAACCAGATAGTATTTTTGGCTTAATGGGCCAGGACATTTCTGCTGTAAGAGTGCGAAAATAACCATACATAATCTGAAACAAATGATTACGGCTCTTTTCCAATAAAACTCTGGTATGGACACTGAAATTTGAATTTCATATAATTTTCATGGGTCACAAATGATTACTCTTTTGATTTATTTTCAATCACTTAAAAATGTAAAAACCACACACAGGGCTTGCAAAAGCAGGCAGTGGACAGGGTTTGCCTTGCAGACCATACTTTGCTAACCCCTGGTTTAGAGCAGCACTGTCCAGTATAATGTAAGCCACATGTATGATTTTAATATTCTAAGCGTGTTTCAGAAAATAAAGAAGGACCAAATCATTATTTGATTTAACCCAATATTGACATTTCAATATATAATCACTGAAATTACCTCTCTCTCCCTCCCCTGCCCCCTGTCTCATCCCCAAGGTCCTCCAAAGCAAATTTTATTTATACCATGTAGCCTATATATTTTCAGGTAAACCATCTGAAATGTACTTCTGAAATTTATTGAGAGCCATCGGCCATTTTGGTGTGATTTAGTAAAGGACACTTGGATTTAGTTATATGGAGACTGAATACCTTTGGGTTTAAGGAAGGATTTCCACACTAACTCCTTTCCTTTCTGTACTTCACAGCTCAGCCCAGACACATACACCTCAACAGCCACTGTGTTTTCTGGAAATGTCAATTGAATGAAGAAAATTTGGGCTCATCTCATCCCACTCCTGCCCTGCCATCCACTGTCCCCTGAAAGGCTTTTACTAGAGCCCCCAAACTCCCCCTCTCCTCCGCCCCAATCCACTGGCACCATCTCTGCCTCCCTCACCAGGGTCATCAAGTGGAGTCTTGTTTCCTGAGTGACCGTGGTTAATTTCTGCCTCTAGGGCCTGGTGTCAAGAAGATCCTGTTAGCCTTGATCCACTTGTGCTTGAATTAATCATGTCTTGTCCTTCTTGGCTCTGCACAAGCCTTTTTCTAGGTCAGAGGGAGAGCTGGGAATCAGAGCTGGAGGTGCTGTTCCCTTGCTGCTGGCCCTTGGGTTTTGCCTTATCTGTGCATTCTTGACTGTTGGAGCCTTGATGCTTTATGAAGCTCTTTTTAGGTGAAGTTAAACTGAAAAGAAGATAAAAAGAAGTCTAACCATATTTTTTACTCCATCCTCTTGCTTTTTATCAAGTTCAGGATGACAAGGTAAAAAATGGCTTGGAAGCTTAAAGGGTTTCATGGGAGCAGTCTCTCATCCTTATGTTTTACTTTGGTTTTGCATTTTCCTCTGGGGTCTCAGTGAAGGAAATGGATTCCTAATCATAGCAGAAAGCATTGAGAAGCCTGGGAGTCAGTCTTTTGGGTCTTAGGAGAGCCAACAGTTACTTGATTTTGCAAGACCTTGCTCACATTCATCCCCCTAACCCATTAAACAGATTTTATTGAGTACCAGGTACTTTTCCTCTGTTTCTATTCCCCCTTTTAAGGGATAAAATATAATTACAAAACACCTTTGCAATCATGACCTCAAGCTTTTGAATATAACAGTACTATAATTTGTATTGTTTGGCTTTTAATATTTAGATTTACAATCCACTTCAAGTTTATTTTTGTACATGGGGTGAGGTAAGGTCAAGGTTAAGTGCTTTCCATATGAATATTTAGTTATCTTAGCACTACTTATTAAAAAGACTTTCCCTTCTTATACTGTTCCATGGTGGTTTCTTTTTCACTGTTACAGATTTGATGTGAAAATTAATCTAGAAATGTATAAGTTAAGAAATGTCAATGTCCTACATTCTCATTCCTTCTACTCTTATGCCTAGTTCCTAGGGGTAATAACTAATATAAACAGGGATGGAGCCATTGGTAGCATATTCCTAATGTGTTGGAGTCCAACCCCAGCAGGTCCAGGGGTTCCCAAAGGTGTGGACAGAGTCGGCAAAGAAGGAATGACATGGAGACAGCGTTCAGTTGATCAGCAGCCTAGCCAGGTTCTCCAGCCAGGTTCTATCTTCATTGTCCTGTTAAATCTGTATTTATACCAGTTGATTTTAATCCTATCCATTCTATTCCAAAGGTTAGGGCGTTTGTTAATCTAGTTCTGTTGAGTTTAATCCTGTCTAGGTTAATCTCTGTGTTTCCATTATAAGGGCTATTCCAAGGTCACTGCTCTACTGATAAGCTACAAGGAAGTGACTGAAGGAGATTATCCTACCCAGTAAAGGTTATGTCCTCCCAGCCTCACTGCTTCCCTTCCCTGGAACTGCCCTGTGTCGGTGAGTCTCCAGGGGTATAGGCTTTGGTGCTTTCCCTGGTGGGCAGACCCCTGGGGATGTGGGCCCAACAAGTCCCAAATTTATTGCCAACAGTCTTACTCCAAGTTCTTCATAAGTAGTACATGGTATTTCTGTAACACTAGGGGGTTTCACTGATTTATTCTCTTCCTTAGTCCTGTTAATCCCTAACTCCAGGGGAAAAATCCTCACCTAGGGAAACAACCTTTCTCGGGGAGGTGGTCTTGTTTAAAACACATAGCGCTAAGAGGGGGAGCAAACATATTAAGAACAGTATGTCATATACGCCAGGTCCCTTGAAACATATGCTGTGCAGATGTTTCTTCCCTGCAGCGACTGTGTCAAGCAGCAAGGATGGATCAGCTTCTGGCACCAATGCATATGGTTATATAGAAATATACAACAGCTCCTCAAATTACATCGTTTTGTTCAACGTTCTTTCATTATAATTCTTGTTTATGTCCATTAGCCTATGGTAAAATTGGTTTTCTTATATATTGTTTCACTTAAGGTCACATAACCTATTGCCATTAAGTGAGGATGTACTGTATGTAGAATTTGTTCTTAGAAAAACTGTATCAAACTCTTTTTATTGAAAATGGCTCATTTCACATAATGTATTTGGCCATCTGTCCTATCCTATCTAATAAAAGAGAAACATGGTAAATAGCTGTACCTCCGCTACCCTTCCCATTGGCTAATCAGGGTGATATGCAAATTAACTGCCAGCCAAAATGGCAGCCAGCAGCCAGGCAGCTTGAAGTGAACATGAGGCTTGCTTGCTTCAGTGACGGAGGACTCCAACATTCCCCGCCTGCCGCTGCTGGCCTCTGAGCTTGCAGTTTGAAACATTGTTACAAATATAGAAGCTAAACAAAACCCCAGAAACCTGCTTTCAGCCAGCCGGGATCTCAGAGCTGGAGTTGAAACAGTGGCCTAAGAGCTGGAGCCAAGCCTCAGAGCTAAAGCTGGCCCATAATAAAAAGAAAAAAAGGAGCGGTTGAGAGCTTCAGTTACCCAGCCTGAAAACAGCCCTCAGCCCCTCACCCACACTGGCCAGGCACCCCAGTGGGGACCCCCACCCTGAGCCAGGACACCCTTCAGGGCAAACCAGCCGGCCCCCACCCGTGCACCAGGCCTCTATCGTATATAGTAAAAGGGTAATATGCCTCCCGGCACCGGGATCAGCATGACAGGGGGCAGCACCCAAACCCCTTGATCGCCCTGTGGCTCTGTGTGTGACAAGGGCGGGGCCACAACCTCCCTATCCGCCCTGCTCTGTTTGTGACAGGGGAAGGTGCCCCAACCCCCTGATCAGCCCTGCTCTGTGCCTGATAGGGGGGAGCTCCCCAACCTCCTGATCACCCTGCGGCTCTATGGGTGACAGTGGTGATGCCCCAACCCCCTGATCGGCCCTGCTCTGTGGGTGATAGAGGGCGACGCCCAACCACCCCCCACGGGCCCTGCTCTGTGTGTGACAGGGTAGAGCCATAACCTACCCATCGGCCCTGCCTTGAGTATGACGGGGCGGTGCCCCAACCCCCCAATTGGCCCTACCCTGAGCGTGACTGAGGGTGGCATCGCAACCTCCCAATCCGCCCTGCTCTGTGCATGACAGGGGGCGGTGCCCCAACTCCCCAATCAGCCCTGCTCTGAGCCCGACCAGGGGCTGCACCTAGGGATTGGGCCTGCCCTCTGCCACCCGGGAGCAGGCCTAAGCCAGCAGGTCGTTATCTCCCGAGGGGTCCCAGACTGCGAGAGGGCACAGGCCAAGCTGAGGGACCCTCTCTCCCCCCCAAGTGCACAAATTTTTGTGCACCGGGCCTCTAGTCTAATAATAGAGAAACATGGTAATTAACTGTAACTTCACTACCCTTCACATTGGCTAATCAGGGTGATATGCAAATTAACTGCCAACCAAGATGGTGGCTGGCAGCCAGGCAGCTGAAGTGAACAGGAGGCTTGCTTGCTCCAGTGATGGAGGAAGCCAAGGTTCCCCGCCTGCTGCTGCCGGCCTCTGAGCTGCAGTCTAAGAAACAATGTTGCAAATATAGAAGCTAAACAAACCCCAGAAACCTGCTTTCAGCCAGCTGGGCCTCAGAGCTGGAATTGCAACAGTGTTTCAATTATAGAAGCCAAACAAAACCAGATACCTGCTTTCAGCAGCCGAGGTCTCAGAGCTGGAGCTGAGCCTCAGAGCTAAAGCCGGCTCTCAGTTCCAGTGACAGCCATAGAAGGTAAATAAATCCCAGAATAAAAAAAAAGAAAAAAGAAAAAAAGGAGAGACTGTGAGCTTCAGTCACCCGCCAGCCTGAAAACAGCCATCAGCTCCTCACCCAGACTGGCCAGGCACCCCAGTGGTGACCCCCACCCTGAAGAGGGTGTGACCAACTGGAAACAGCCATCATCCCCTCATCCAGGCTGGCCAGGCACCCAAGTGGGACCCCCACCCTGATCCAGGACACCCTTCAGGGCAAACCAGCGGGCCTCCACCGGTGCACCAGGCCTCTGTCCTATATAGTAAAAGGGTAATATGCAAACTGACCCTAACAGCAGAAGGACTGGGAATGGCTGGTCACTATGACACACACTGACCACCAGGGGGCAGATGCTCAATGCAGGAGCTGCCCTCTGGTGGTCAGGGCGCTCTCACATGGGAGGAGCTCTGCTCAGCCACAAGCCAGGCTGATGGCTGCCAGTACAGCGGTGGTGGTAGGAGCCTCTCCTGCCTCCTCTGCAGCGCTAAGGATGTCCGACTGCAGTTTAGGCCTGCTCTCCGCTGGCAAGTGGACATCCCCTGAGGACTGCCGGGCTGCCAGAGGGATGTCTGATTGCCATCTTAGGCTCAATCCCCTGGGGAGCGGGCCTAAGCCAGCAAGTGGTCATCCCCTGAGGGGTCCCAGACAGCTAGAGGGCACGGGCCGGGCTGAGGGACACCCCCTACCCCCACCCCCCCGAGTGCACAAATTTTTGTGCACCAAGCCTCTAGTATATATATATATAAAAGCCTAAGTGACCCGATGACCGGCTGGTAGCTATGACGCACACTGACCACCAGGGGGTAGACGTTCAACACAGTAGCTACCCCCTGGTGGTCAGTGCACTCCTACAGCAGGAGCGCACTTCCCCTGCACCCCCAGCAGTGGTGGTGGCAGGCGCAGTGGGCCGAATTAGCGGGAGTGGCACAGTGCCCAGCCAGGGCTCGAGCGTCTTCCTGGCCGCCTGCCACTTTGTGCACTACTTTGTGCTGTGCAGGATTGACACGGACAGCAGGCTGGAGCCTGACGAGCTGGCGGGTAAGGCCGGGCTGTGGCGGCATGGAGATCCACTGATCCCCACAGGCCAGGCCGAGGGACCCCACCAGCGCACGCATCTGTGCACCGGGCCTCTTGTTGTTTCATATTGATCTATCTGACCTCTTTTAAGGGTTGCAGAGTAACTCCATTCCTGATGGATGTGTTGCCTGTGTCAGTGCTCTGTGAAACCTCCATTAAAACAACAACAACTAGAATACATTTATAGTGAATCTGTGGAGAGATGAAAGGAAAGAACCGCTGCACTGAATGCATTTCAGACACTGGATCCTTCTCAGTGTCTCGGCCTTGGCAAGCTTTGGCCCCTTCTGACTGAGTCGGCCTTTCCCTGCAGAGCTTGGACCACAGGTTCTTAACGATTATGTACAGACTCTGCTCATGTTGGTGGCCACCAGACACTTCAGTGAAGGGCAAGCAAGAGTTCTTCAGGCAGGAAGGGAAGGAACAACACGGAGCCTGGGTCTCCAGATAAACCATTTCTGAATCCAGCATGAGATGAGTTTGGGATGATACTTGATCCTCAGATTTCTCTGATGGATAAAACGTTCCATATGTCCCCAAGAGAACTGATTGACTCGACAGCTTAAAGAATTGTTCTCTGGAAGTGTCTTTTATTTATTTTCCTGAAGGTGAAAGTGAATTTTGAGTGCTTCTAAGGAACAGGGTGATTCACCAGAGATTTTTACTGAGACTTTTATGGATATGCGTTACAGTTAACAATCTGTACACCTGATGGTCCCCTGATGGGGACAGAGATTTATTAGCCAACAGATAAGACAAATTGAGGTTTTATGAGAGGCACAATTCTCTGAAGCCACTGAGAACTGATTGCATGAGAGTGCTATTTGTACATCCTCAGGCTTGCTATTTAAAAAGAATTGTTCAGTTTTGACAAAATTGCTCTGAACATGAACAATTTCCTCCTATTATGGAGTGTCTCGTTTTCAGCCATTCTATTGCATTCTTACTCATGCAAGGGGCGGCGGTGAGGCGATGGTAAACGTTCTACATGATGATCTTAACTAGACTCTAGAGCAGCCATGGGCAAACTACGGCCCGTGGGCCGGATCCGGCCCGTTTGAAATGAATAAAACTAAAAAAAAAAAAAAAAACAATAACCTTTTATGTAATGATGTTTACTTTGAATTTATATTAGTGAACACAAACACTCCATCCATGCTTTTGTTCCGGCCCTCTGGTCCAGTTTAAGAACCCATTGTGGCCCTCGAGTCAAAAAGTTTGCCCACCCCTGCTCTAGAGCCAGCCCAGGAGAGCATGTGAGGCTGGCCTTGCTCACCCACTCACCCAGGGCAGGTGAGCTCACTGCTTGACCTGGAGGCACAGGCTAAACTTTAGAGTGCTCATGTTTTAACACTCCTGCTATGAGTCTGGTTTTGCACTGATGTGAATACATTTTTTTAAATTTATAGTTTTCTGAGAGCAGGGCATCGTTTTGGTGGAGAGGTTTCCAGAAATCATCCCCCAATTGCAGTGTGTTCTCTACTGGAGAAGGAGGGACTTGCTCCTGGGCCCTTTGCTATGCTTCACCCTAAAGAGGAAAAGGGTGAAGCCTGTGAGGGCACTGAGAGAACTTAGGCACATCCTGCTCCCTTGGAAGACATCAGGTAGCTGTGACTAATAGGTTTATTTTGTTAAAGGTAAAGAAATTAAGGAGAGAAGTAATGGGCATATTTTTAAGGGAAAGTAGAAGCAAATCTGTTGTAATCTCCTGAGTATGGCAGAAGAGGAAATAGCATTGAATAAGCAGGAGATATTGAAATCAAGTTTTATCATCACCTTAACAATAATAACCATCATTTAGAAATGCCCACTAGGCACTTCATAAAAGTTATTTCATCCTCCAAAGAACCTTACGAGGGGTATGGAATACTCACTTTGCAGCTGAGGAAAAGCTTGAATCATGTGATCTAGCAGAAGAGGACTGGTCTGTAAGTCATTTATTAGCTGTGTGACCTTGGGCAAGTCATTTTGACCCCCATGGGCCTCAATTTCCAGTATGGGTTAATTATCTCTAAAGCCTTTTTTAGTTCTGATGTAAGTGGGTTGACCCGGACAAATTAAACCCTTATAAACCTCACTATCATACCATGCAAGACCCCATTTCCCCATTCAGCAGGTACCCGTTACCACAGACATGCCAGGCTCCCTGCTCAGTCCTGGGGTGCAGAGGTGGACACATAGGCCCTGCCGCCGTGGAACTGACTTGCAGCGACCCGGGGTGGTTGTGTGTGTTTTTTGTTCGTTTGTTTTGTTTTTATAAATAGATTTTATGTTTCAGAAGAGTTTTTGATTTATAGAAAATCTGAGGAGATACTCCAGCCCCGTTCTCGTGTTATTAACATCTTACATTAGTATGGTACACTGGAGTGGAGTCTTGGTTTTTAGTCACCACTGTGCCAGCCTCCTGCAGGGCCTGCTGCTTTTAGGCGATAGGATGTAGAAAAAAATGCGATTTGGAGTCATAAGATTTAAGCACTTCTCTAATCCACGAGCCAGTGAGCAAATCGCTTAAAACTTTCCTTGTCCATAAAATGGAGGAAATGGCTCTGCATTGCGGGATTGTCGAGGTGTAAGATAATGTGGATATGCGCCACAGTTTGCGAATCACCGAAAACGGGATGAAAGACTTCTTGCCACACTTCCCGGGAGGCCGCGCGTTCGAGGAGTCCTCCGGACCATAGAGCTCAGGTCCTAGCTGGGCCTCACCCGCACCACTTCCGTTCCTCTGCCTAAAACCGCGCCTGCGCACTGCGCTCCTTCCTCTCGGCGTCCGACCTGGTTCGCGGCGACATGGTGAGTGTTGGTCCCGGTGAGGCCTCGGTGTCTATCCACCCGCATCTGTTCTTCTGTCGGTATCTTCTCCCTAACTCACCTCTGCTCGCCTGCCCTGCCCTGTGTCCTCGGCCGCTGTAGCCACGCCGTTCCTCTCGGACGCCAGCTGCGGCGGAGGGGCGGGGCGGCTGGTCCGGGCCGGGTACGGGGGGAGCCCTCGCAGTGCCCGGCTCACCCTGGGCCCCGGCTGCCCCGGGGTGGAGCAGGGGGAGCCAGGTCACAGGCAGGGCTGGCTGGGTGGAGGAACGGTTTCGGAGGGGCAGGGACCTGGGGGAGGAAGGGCAGGCTTTCCATTCCTGGGTCTTAATATCGCAGGTTTCTTAATAGGCCAAACGCACCAAGAAGGTCGGAATCGTCGGTAAATACGGGACCCGTTATGGCGCCTCCCTCAGGAAAATGGTGAAGAAAATTGAAATCAGCCAGCACGCCAAGTACACCTGCTCCTTCTGTGGCAAAGTACGATGTTCCCGGCGGGGGGAGGGAGCGAAGGCGGCCTTCCCAGTGCGGCCCGAGGTCGATACACCCTGGTTCCCGGTTGCTGAACAGGGAGAGCTGTGCACACTGTGGGTGACCAGTCGTAAGATGGTCGAGCATTGTTGCTAATACACAGTTTGTAACGCGTTTTCCACTTAGAGTAAACCACTTGGGGACTACAGGGTAAAAAATTGTGACAGTCCCAGCCTGAGCCAAACCTGCTTTGTGGAAGTGGTTCCGTTGGTCTCGTCAACTGCAGTTGTAGAGGTTTTCATTTAATGTTTTCATGTCTGCACAAGTCCTTGGTGACAGCAGCCCTTGTTGGGGGTGGTTCGCATCTGGCAGTGTCACCATGATGGATGCACGTTTTGCATGAGGGAACGTACAGGTATTGGAAACACGTATCCCCCTAAACACACAACTTCCGTTTTCCAGTGTAAGTTAGGCCCCTGGGTGTTGGTAAGAGAAACGTTTTATTTGGCTCACAGGGAAAATTGGTTGTCTGTTACAGACCAAGATGAAGAGGCGAGCCGTGGGGATCTGGCACTGTGGTTCCTGCATGAAAACCGTCGCTGGTGGTGCCTGGACCTACAAGTGAGTCCCTTTGCTTGTGGTCTATGCAAGTGTGGGCCAGTCATAGTCCCAGCTGAACGCTGTGGGCTGGTTTTAACTCTTGGCAAGACTGAGAGAAAGTAAGGATGTTTTTGTGTGTTTTCCCAGGACTCTTGAGTTGTGGTTTGCTTTGAGTTATTTAAAGAATAGAAGGAAAACTCGAGAAAAGAGTCCAATCTGGCACATTTGATTTTAAAGCCCTCAGGGTGATTGTTAGGAGCACTATCATATTGTACCAGGTCCGTTAGTGGGACTCCTAAGGGGTCACTTACCTCATTACTGTGTATGGGAACTTGAGGGCGTCTGGACCACCCCCCCTTTGTGTCCGTTGGCCTTGTGATCCTGACAAGGGCCAGGTGATACTGCTAAGATGAACTCTGTTTGATTGCGTGGGCTCTTAAGTTGATTCATTTCTTGGCTGACTCTGAAGGGGTCTAAACTTGGAATTTTTTGCTGACCCTGAAGGCTGAGGTGTTCTTTAGCCACTGTCTCACTTGCGCTGTCCAATATACTAGCCGCCTCTATATAAAATGATTTGGCTAGTGTGGTTGAAAATTGAATTTTTAAGTTTAAAATCGAAGTGCTGTAAAATTGGAAAATGTAGAGATAATTATAACGGATATATACCTATAAGCGCCTTGTGGGGTTTTATGAGGGCAGAAGGGAGAGGGGTGTGTTTTTGGTTGTGTTAGTAAAATGAATCAGCATTCATGTACCTGTGATATGGGGTGGGGTGTGTGTTTTTAACAGCTGTCTTTCCAAAATGTAAATTTAGCTTGCTCTAAATTTAGTTTGTTTTCTTTCTTGTTTTGTTTTTAATCTTCACCTGAAGATATTTCTCCATTAATTTTCAGAGAGAGAAACATATCGTGAGAGAGACATATCAATTGGTTGCCTCCTGCACGGGCCTTGACCAAAATTGAACCTGCCACCCTTCAGTCCACTGGCTGAAGCTCTAACCACTGAGAAAACCAGTTAGGGCAAACATTTTCTTGATACCTCTTATTTATTGTGCCATTTTAATAAGTTTAGGTCGGTCTCTTGCAATCATTCTTCTGTGTTAATCTTTTTATGCTCCGTTGCCTGTCTCATTCTACAAGAGCCTGGAGACATGACTCTTAAAGGATGCCATCAAGATTGTACTGTAAAAATGAGGCAGTTTTCAGTAACATGTCTCATTCGCCATTTCACATGTTAACATAGTTCATTATGGTGGTACCAAATTTGTTTTTCTTTCCAGCACCACTTCTGCCGTCACAGTAAAGTCAGCCATCAGAAGACTGAAGGAATTGAAAGACCAGTAGAAGCTCCACAGTTTGAAACATTGCGAGCCTATAATAAATGGGTTAATTTATATAACAAAATTTCTTTGGTTGTTCATTTTATTAATTCGACATTCTGGTTTACATTGTATTAATTTTGCTTTCTCAAAAAAAAAAGACTTGGAAATTAAAACCCATCTAATTTTTCAGCAGTCAGTGATATATAACATAAGAATATAAGCCTTTTAAGTCACTGTTAAGTTTTTATTTTAAATCTTTTTAAAGGTATGATGGACAGACACATACTTCCTCTTTTGGTGTTTTGTCTGACCATTGTATCAGCATCTTCAGAAAACAGGGAAACAATTCGAGTTTCACAACATATTTTGCAAATCACACATATTCTTCACTTTTCAGTTTGCACACAAGGATTCCCAGGAATGAGTTACTCAATTTGCTGTAGATGGTCACACTAATAAAGAAAAATTTGCTTGTAGGTTTTTCAAAGTTGTGAATGGTTAAGATTATGATTAACCTTTCTTCACCTTTGTTTATTCCACCTCCTAAATGCTCTGTAAGGCCTATGCATAGATTTATCCCTTCATTCAGCACTGACTGTGGGCATAGACTATCAAAGTAACACTCTGTGCTGTGCCAAGCTTATTAGACCATGAAGAGAGGGAAGGCTTGATGGATTGATTGGTTTGATCATTTGTGGGCAATGGTTAATGGGTTAGCCAACTAGTGGAAAGAACAATAAACATTCTGACAAGGATGTTGCAGAAATAGGTGGGTTGAATTCTTAGAATGAGTACAGAATTGATGTCCCCCAGAAAGCATATGTTGGATGCTGCTGTCCCTAACCAGATAAGATAACCCATTCAGTGGGTGTCAGCTATCTTACCCAGCCACTATAATAGGCCCATGAGTAAAACTATTCACAACTGCAGAGATTGAGCCTGTGCATGAGATTAAAAGTGGACCTCCTCGTATTCAGGATGACCTGGCTCTTGCCTCTGCAGAGTGGCAAACTGCAGAGAGACCAGTGGTAAGCTCTGATATGACACCATTTCTTATAGGTACCATTTAGCCAAGAGATTACATCAGATTCCTTCCATCATGCAAAGGAAAGCAGTTTGTCTTAAGGATAGCCATGACTTGTGGGTGTGGACTGGCTTGCCTAGAGGATATCTGCCAATATTGTCACTCGGGGCCTTAAAACATATCTTGCCCAATCCTGTGATATCACAGTATAGACTGACAAGTGAAGGAATTGCAGCAATTAGCTCACACTCAAAATTTTTTTACCATGTGTGCTCCATCATCTAGCCATAGCTTGCTTACTAGACTTAATATTTGCTAACGGTTGGATCAGCTGGGAGCTGTTAACTCACTATGAGGTTATGCATATCCTACAAGATACATTATATGCCTTAATCCTATCAGTACTTGGTGCTTTCTTCATCATAGCCAGGATTCATGGGTTAACCAATTGAGATGGAAGTGGACTCACCACTGAGAATTATCATTATCCCAATTGACTCATTGAAGGCATTCTTGCTTCCCTTGCATGTGACCTTGAGGCAGGTGAGTTTGGAGAAGGATGCAGTGTTTCTTCAGGGAACACAACCTTGGTTATATTTAAATTGAAACCATGAGATCATTTTAGGCTCTTTTATAAAATTTAATTTTATTGATTTGAGAGAAGAGAAACATTGACCTGCTGCTCCACCCACCCATGCATTTATTGATTAACCCCTGCATGTGTCCTGACTAGGGACCAAACTCAAAATCTTGGGGCACTGGGATGACCCTCCAAACAACTGAGCTACCTGGACAGGGTCATTTGGGTTCTTTATGCCACTGAACCAATACCCAGAAAAGGGAGTCTCCAGACATCACCTTTAGCATCCAGCTCTGTGCTCCAGGAGATTCCCTGCCCTGTATGGGCTGTAGCAATGGTTCTCTTGTTCTCTGGCTTCCGGTTAGTTTCTGTAATTGGAAGGCACCAGTAGAAGACTTGGCAGATGGGAAGGAAGTGGAGTTGTGATGTTTATTTCTCCTGCTTATCCTTGCAGCCTTGCTGCAGATAGACTATTCTACGAAAGAATAGAACTGTGAGGCGGCTCTTTCCTGTATCTATAGCTACTCAGATTTAGTAACTACTCCCTCCCTTTACTCCTGTAGGCCTAGGATGGTAATGGCTTCCCGCTGTTACTAATCCTGTCAGACTTCATCTGATATTGATTACCCTTAACTTGACACTTGACCTTAGTCCCTTAATTCAGCGTCCTTAATTACCCCATTTGAGTGTCCTATCTGTTTTCTGCCAGGACCCTGAACAAACCAGATGTTTCATAGTAACCTGTTTTGACATTGCTAAAGCAGAAATCATATTCTGCATGTTTTTTCCTATTCTATCTCATCTATTATTCCTCCCTTGTGTCCTGTAGTAAGACATTTTTGTCTCTCCAGTTCTCTTCCTTTGCACAACTTCTCTCCATTCTATTTGGTTATGGTGGGGTTACCAATAACAGGATCCCTTCCTTTTGCTTGGCCATGAAAGGATGGTCACGTGATTCAACTACTGTAACTGGTCAAGCAAATTATTCTAGGAATTTATAAATTGGGCTGAGTCAAACACAGAGGTGGCTAGTTGAGTGTTAGTGGAAGTACCCTGAGAGTCCATGAATGTTTGCCTCTATATGCAGTTACCCTGGTTCCTGCTTAGATGCAGATTAAGAGAGTATCAGTGACTAGAAAAATAAAAAAAAAAATTCAGAAGCCCAATAAATAATGGGAAGGAATGAATTCAGTATAAGAGACAGGGTAGATGCAATGAAGAGTTCTAATAATGTGTAAGTGGAGTTCCAGAGGAGAGAGGAGGGATGATAATGGCTCAAAATTTTCCAAAGCCAATAAAAAATACCAAGCCACAGAATCAAGAATCCCTGTAAGCCTAAGAATATCATAGTATGAAGACCAAACACAAAAGGAGTATCTGAAAAGCAACTGGTAGGAAAAAAAATGAGCAGCACTAAGACAGTCGACTTGTTAAGAATAGATTCTACAAAACAATAGGTTTATATCTTCGAAGTCAAAGTTCTTAAAATTCTGTACACGGACATTCCACCAATATGAAGGTGAAATAAGAATTAAAACAAGATTTATCACCATAGACCCACCCATTGGACAGAAAGTAAATAATCTGAGGAGGAGATGCAGAGATGCAGGGAAGGGAGGAAAGTCAACAACAAGGGGAAATACGGAAATACAAGTGAATGTAGACTATAAATAATGGCAATAAGTGTTGGGGTAATATTAAAATGTATTACGCCCTAGCTGGTTCGGCTCAGTGGATAGAGTGTCAGCCTGTGGACTGAATGGTCCCGGGTTTAATTCCAGTCAAGGGCACATGCCAGGGTTGTGGACTCAATGCCCAGTAGGGGGTGTGCAGGAGGCAGCAGATCAATGATTCTAATCATTGATGTTTCTATCTCTCCCCTTCCTCTCTGAACTTAATTTAAAAAATATTAAAAATAAAATGTATCACAACAGCATATACAGAGATGGGCAAAAGTAGGTTTACAGTTGTAATATAAATATGCGATAGTAATATAAGAATAAACACTTCCGTGTACTCACAACTGTAAACCTACTTTTGCCCACCACTGTTTGTCAGTAAAGATGGTAAATAGTGTTAAAATGTTATAAGATTCTTGAATTGTTCAGGAAGAGGTAAAACTAATCAAATATATATTGTAATCTCTGATAGTCACTAAAAGAATAGAAAATAATGTATTAATAGAGTGGAAATAGAATTGAAAAGCACTCAATCAGAAGGGATGGAAAAAGAACTAGTAGAACAAATAGTACATAGTAACAGTAGATTAAGCATACACATGTGTATGTATGTATCATTATTAACATACTAGAGGCCCGGTACACGAATTCATGCACGGTTGGGGTCCCTCAACCTGGCCGGCGATTGGAGCCAAGGGGTCAATTGGGGCAGGCCAGCTGGAGGGAGGGACCGTGAGAGGTTGACTGTGGGAGCACACTGACCACCAGGGGGCAGCTCCTGCATTGAGCGTCTTCCCCCTGGTGGTCAGTGTGTGTCATAGCTACCAGCTGGTCATCCGGTCATCTGGTCGTAACATTCGCTTAGGCATATATATATATATATATATATACACACACACACACACATACCAGAGGCCCAGTGCATGAAAATTCATGCACTGGGGGTCCCTGAGCCCAGCCTGTGCCCTCTTGCAGTCTGGGAGCCCTCAGGGGATGTCTGACTGCCATGGAGGCGGGAGAGGCTCCCGCCACCTCCACTGTGTTCACCAGCTGTGAGCCAGCTTCTGACTGAGCGGCGCTCCCCCTGTGGGAGCACACTGTACCACCAGGGGGCAGTTCTTGCATTGAACGTCTACCCCTTGGTGGTGGTCAGTGTGCATCATAGCAACCGGTCATTCCTCTGTTTGGTCAATTTGCATATTAGCCTTTTATTATATAGGATATAGATATATAGATATATAGATATATAGATATAGATATAGTTAAATATATGCTTTAATTAAAATGTAAAGATAGTCAAATTGGATTACAGACAACAAATTTAAAGAGTAAAGAAAAGCCTGAAGAGTAAGGAATCAGATATTTATCTATATATATAAAAGCCTAACTGACCGTTCCACTGGTCAACTGTTTCACCAGTTGCTATGACACACACTGACCACTGGGGGCAGACGCTCAATGCAGGAGCTGTCCCTTGGTGGTCACTGCACTCCCACAGCGGGAGTGCCACTCAGCTGACCAACAGGCACCAGACGAGAGGCAGCAGTGGCAGGCACAGCGGGCTGGGATGAGCAGGAGCAGCAGGCGGTGTTGGACTGCTGGTTTCAGACCAATCGCCGCAGGCCATGGGGAGGGACCCTACCGGTGCACGAATCCATGCACCGGGCCTCTAGTCCTATATAATAAAAGACTAATATGCAAATCGAATGGCGGAGCAACTCATCTCTGTGACGCACACTGACCATCAGGGGGCAGACGCTCAACGCAGGAGCTTCCCCCTGGTGGTCAGTGCGCTCCCA